AACATGTTGCAGGCATCGATTTCAGAATAAACGTACATTTACAAACAACAATAAAGCTGATAGGGTAAAAATATGAAACTTTTTTCTGTTTTTATTTCCGTTTCAGGTATTGTTTCTTTTTTTGAGTTGAGGTTTGCTTTATATCTATTGTATTAATGTAGACTTGATATGCAAATTTGGATCAAATAAATGCAAAGCACTATATTTTTCAGTGTCTGCTTCTCGCTCTCTCATACTTTCCCCACTGCCGGTGTTTATTTATAGCTCTTAGTGTCGAGTGTGTTTATTTCTTGCTCTGAGTGTGTTTATATGCGATAGCCTGACTGAGATACTTTGAGCTCCTTGTTAAAAATGAAACTCGACATGACTCATCAGACACAAACATACGGAGCTTATCTTGTCCACCTCACATAGAGGCTCTGGCAGTGGATGTGTTCAAACACCAGCTGAATGCTATCAGAGAGATAATCCAGTGCAAACAGACATGCAGTGTCTATATTTGACTCCTCAATGTATAAGCAAGTATGTTAGTACTGCTGCAATTACAACTGTGTTTTAATTATATTGTTATTTTATATTCTCAATCTTATTTTGCTCAATGAAAGCACCTAACAATACACTAATATCACATAGAGAGTAAAGAGTCTTTTAAGAGCACTGCTTGGAACTCTCTCATATATGTCCAGAACTTTGTGTAGTGAGATAATTTATCAAGAGGAAAAGCATTCAGTTCTAATACCTCAAGAAGAAAAGCCTTTCATTTTGTTTCATAAATAAGAAAAGCTTTCAGTTTTCATTCAGCAAAAAGAAAACATTTCAGTTTTATTTCTTCAAGAAGAAAAGTCTTCAGTTTTATATCACTAAGTAAAAACCTACCAATTCCACCAGCTTCAAGAAGAAAAGCTTTAATTCAGCTTCTTCCTGAACAAAAGCCATTTAAAAGATGTAAAAGTTTCAGTTTAACTTCCCCAATAAAAAAAGCCTTCCCCAACAAGAAAAACCTTTGTCAAGAAGAAAACCCTGCAATAGTACATCATTAAAAAGAAAAGCCTTTACTTCTACTTCTTCAAGAAGAAAACCCCACAGATCTACACCGTCAAGAAGACCTCTCAGATCTACACCATGCGTTCTATTTCTTCAAGAAGAAAACCCCACAGATCTACCCCATCAAGAAGACCCCTCAGATCTACACCATCTGTTCTACTTCTTAAAGAAGAAAACCCCTCAGATATACACCATCAAGAAGACCCCTCAGATCTACACCGTCTGTTCTATTTCTTCAAGAAGAAAACCCTTCAGATCTACACCGTCTGTTCTATTTCTTCAAGAAGAAAACCCCTCAGATCTACACCATCAAGAAGAAGACCCCTCAGATCTACACCATGTGTTCTACGTCTTCAAGAAGAAAACCCCTCAAATCTACACTGTGGAAAAGACCCCTCAGATCTACACCATCTCCTCTACTTCTTCAAGAAGAAAACCTTTCAGATCTACACCATCAAAAAGACCCCTCAGATCTACGCTGTCTGTTCTACTTCTTCAAGAAGAAGACCCCTTAGATCTACACTGTCAAGAAGACCCCCTTAGATCTACACCGTCAAGAAGTATTCTGTTCACTTTCGAAAGAAGAAAAACCTTCAGCTCTACATTTTAAAGAAGGAAACACCAGCTTCACATTTTTTAAGAAGAAAAACCTTCAGCTCTACACTTTTAAGAAGAAAAAAATCTTCAGTTCTACATTTTTAAGAAGGAAAACCTTCAGCTCTACATTTTTAAGAAAAAAATCTTCAGTTCTACATTTTTAAGAAGGAAAACCTTCAGCTCTACATTTTCTAAGATGGAAACACCTTTAAGACGGAAACACCTTGAGCTCTTCATCTTTCAGAAGAAAAACCTTCAGTTCTATGTATTCAAGAAGAAAAAAGTTTTGGATCTGTTTGGATCTATTGTGAGAAGTTGCAGGGGAAAGGGTTGTCTGAGATTCTCTGCTCTCCCAACTGATACTGCGACCCTATCTGGACTAAGCGGTTAGTGATGATTGATGGTTGATGACGATGGATCTATTTTCTTCAAGAACAAAAACTATACTTGAATTTTATAAGGAAAAAAGTCTTCATTTCTACAGCTTCAAAAAGAAAGATCTTCAGTTCTTCTTCTTCTTCTTCTATGTCTTGAGAAGAAAATCTGAACAATTTAATACAAACATGTTTCTGTCATTTGAAATAAGAAAGTATTTAGTTTATTGATCAACCGACTGTGCACAACCAACCAACCAAACAAACAAACAAACAAAAACACAGCCAGCCAACAGTGAAAGGAAAAATAGTGTTTAAATAAGTAAATGAGTATCTGGATGGTAGAATCAGGTTGATCTGATTAGAACAGCAATAAAGCTTTGTAGACTCATTAAATCCATTAACATTCACCTACTGCATACACAATTGCTGCACATATTCAGTCAGACCCTTTTATTATATGTTAACAAATATAGGCCTAGTAGTAGTATAGTAAAGCAAATAAACAGAATACAAATAAATGCAATTTATTCACCCAGAAATTGTGAATCACACGTGTCTTGATTACTTGGCTGTTGTGATTGCCTGAAAACTAGTTTTCCATCATTTTTGGTAGATTATGTCATTGCCAGGTGAAACCACTCAATTCAATTAATTCTCATCATTTAAAGTGTGACTGTGTTCCTCACAGCCTGAATAAAGCAATGAATGTAATGAAACCTACTTATGGACAAGTTTGAGCAAAGTAAAATGTATATGTGACTGTATTATCAGTGTTGTCAATGAGAATTACTTGGTTTTTACTGCCATCTGCTGGTTGCCTGCTTGATTACAGGCAATGTAATGGGACAAGACAGTGCTTATGAAATGGTTTGTCTCCATCAGCCCACATCATGCAACTGCCTTCAAAGTGAAAACAACCTGAAGTACTCAACAAATGGCAAAAAACGCTGCTCAACTGCTCAGACTCCATTAACCCCCCCAAGATACTGGCTGATCCTTGCTTAGTGTTTTAGAGCAAATTTGGTAATTATCCAAGGAAGTATTTCAGCTGGGATATCTTTCCATCATTTCTAACATGCCTAGTAAGAAATATATTGCAACAAATAAATAAAATACGTATATGTGGTACTGTGCAAAAGTCTGAGGCCACATTTCATTTTGTAGGCACTTCAATTTCCTGATGGGATTACAGTTTTGGTGTCTACCAGGCCTATTTTCTTATCTTTTATTTCTTTGATCTTCTGATTTTTCACTTACTTTCCTTTGGCTTGCTCCTTCCTTCTGCAAGTAGATTTTCATATATCTAATTTTATCAAAACGTCTCCTGAAAAATGAATAACTTGTACTAAATGGCTGTTTTGCACTGCTTGTCTTTAGTTACCTCAACTAGAGGACACTAAACATTTGCCAAATCTAAATTCGTTTTTAGTTTAGTTGAACTAAAGTCTTTTTCCATCAATCTCACCATGCATTTTCTCCACTTATGGATGGCTGTGGCATCACTGTCTTTCCCTTTTAGAGGGGTGAAGTTTAGTTCATTGTACCACTTTGGAGCCCCTGCAGATTTCTGTATCTTTAAAATGTTTGTTGTTTTAACTCACTGTGCTGTGGAAACATTTGGTGTCCATTTAAGAACTCATCCCAGCATAAGGAGGCTGTGAGTTTGAACCCGAGCCAAGCCACAAGTTTCCACCTCTGGAAGCCTGAAGGGTGAGAATGTCTTGAGATGCAGAGCTAGAAAAGGGAGTTAAGAGAACTATTGACTAAACTAAGAAGTTTGAGTTGGGTGAACTGTAGTGTCTTTTTGCGCAGTTCTATACCTTCATCTCCAACCCAAATATTCAAACACTTGATCCAGTTAGTGAAGGATCTCTGAAGACTGTATCATGGGTGGGTTGAATTTAGAGCTAAAAGCCAGCAGATCTTCATGGGTCTGGATGGTCTTTGAAAGCCAGTGGAGTTGGTGTAGGGTGCTGTCCAGGGTACTGAAGCCTCCTGAGACTGCTTTTTGGTTCATTTCAGAACTGAAGACTGCTGTTGGTGGTTGGGGGGGTTTAAACTTTGGTCTGCTGTATATGTTGTTCTGTTCCCCTCCTCCAAATAAATCCTCTTAGTTTCCATATGGACCCCAATGAACCCCCAAGTTACACTATTAAAAAAGATGGTTCTTCAGGGGTTCTTTAGTAAGAACAGTGAGCCTCATTCACCAGAATCTTACATAAGAACAAATCCAATATTAGAAAACATTGGTGAATGTCAGAATCTTAGTGAAAACTGGGGTGGGTTTTCAGAAGCCATTTCTTCTTAGGAACAGTTGGTAAATGAGGCCCATTTGTTCTATATAGAACCATTAACACTTATAGAAACATTTACATGATTAGATGGTTCTTTGCATGATGAAATAGTTCTTCAGATTGGTGGAAAATGTCTTATATATGGGTTCTATGTAGCACCTTTTGAAAATGGTTCTATGTAGCACCAAAAGCGTTCTTCTCTTGTCTACACGCTTGACATTTTAACAATAGCAAAAACCTTTATGCTGCTATATAGAACCATTTTCATTTCCATTTCACTAAGCAAAGAACCATTTTTGAGTGTTCACTGTCTTTACCAAAGAACCCTTGAAGAACCACCTTTTTTAAGAGTGGGACAGATGGAACTGGGAACTGGTGATGGTTTACACCAGTGGTCCCCAGCCCTGCGTCCTGGAGGTCTGCCTTCTTGCAGGCCTAATCGACCACCACCTCACCCATCTAATTACTGCCTTCAGAAGTCTGAATATTCGCTGAACAAGGCGTTAGTTTCATGTTGGAGGCAGATCTCCAGGAGGGAGGATGGTGATCACCACTGTGCACCATCTGAGTCTGGGTGGAGCCCACGCCCTCCACCCCTGAACTAGGGGGCAGATCGCCCCCCCTCCCCACACGGATCTCCGCCGGAAGTGGGCGGATCACCGCTGCCTCTCCAACCGGACCGCTGGGATGAAGGAGAGCCGGGGACGGTCTCGGGGCTGACGAGGAATCCAACACAAATAACCCAACAGCACCGAGACTCAGAGCTTCCCAAAGCGCGATCGGTCGCTCCGCAGCGGGCAGGGAAACGGAACAGGCTTCGGAAACCCAGCACGGCCTCAAGATGATGGAAGAAATCGATCGATTTCAAGTCCCGACCGAGGCAGAGATGCAGGCCCTGGTAGGCAGCAGTCTAGAACCCGTGCGGGCGAACGGATTCTTTGGTGTCTTGTCTGTGATTGGTAGACCGTGTTAACCTGCCTATTGTGCGGTTTCTGTATCCGCTGTATATACAAATTAGCCGGCTTTGTTCGTTTGTACCGTCACGTCCGAACTCTCCGTTCCACCTTAAACGGTGCAGCACTTCCATTCTGCTGCACCGTTTAAGGTGGACCGGAGAATTCGAAGCCAACTTCAACCTCGTCATCGCGATCTGGCACTAATCGCAGGGGGGCGATTAATGGTTGGTGGCCTCTGTTATCACTGCGTCTGAGGTTTTCACGCTATTTGTTATGAACGTTTTGTCTCCTGGTCGTTGATGTCCAGGCCAGGATGGCAGTGCATCGCTGTCTGCAGCGTCCCTAGCTGGGTGTATGATCGATGAGGGCTCAGTGGAGGCCTGTTGTGTCGCCTTGTAATGCTTCATCAGACCTTCTGTACTCAAAAATATCACATTTAGGCCCCCAAATTCATCTCCATTGCATGTTCATCATCCATCCCACTACAGATGCAGTACAGTAGACCTAACCCCTGTGACATTTCGGTACACATGCAGGACATTTTCAAACATATCTGGATAAACACAGAATCAGTTTCATTTCAAATGGTTGGGTAATGTTAACACACATTGAGGATCATTTGTAGAGTGTGGGTGGTCTTTCTTCCCCAATCCAAGGCCAGGTTTGTCAGTCATTTGCAGGGAATTGGTGCAAAATAAGCATATGTTGTGTTTTGGATGCTGGTGACCAACTAAACCAGCACCAGACCAGCACAAACCAGAAAAAAACCTTGCTATCCCAGGTGGTTGCTAAGGTGTTGCTGAGCTACTCTCTTAAAAAGATGGCCCTTCAAGGGTTCTTTTGTAATGGGAATGGTTCTGTGTTTAGAACGAAAGACTTCTATATAGGACCATTTCATGCTTAAATGGTTCTTTGCATGAGCAATATGTTATATATGGTTCTATATATAATCTTTTTGAAAGTGGTTCTATGTAAAACCAAAAAGGATTCTGCTATTGTTACAATGTCAAGCTTTTAACAATAGAAGAACCCTTTTTGGTGCTGTTTCACCATGCAAAGAACAATTTAAGCCACATTGTTCTGTAAAGACCACATGGTTCTAAATAGAGCCACTCCCTTTACTAAAGAACATTTGAAGAAGCATCTTTTTAAGAGTGTAACAATGGCTGAGCAACACCTTAGGATACACCTGGGATAGCAAGGTTTTTCTGGTTTAGTCTGCCGCTGGTTAAGTTGGTCAGCAGCATCCATGTATGGTAACCAAGGTGGTTGCTCACTTCCTGAGATGACTATGAAGAGTAAGTTGGCTTTTTTTCCAGCAGGGATCATTAATGACAGTTAAGGTAAAGGTAACATGATGCTGTTATATCACTGAGCACAATCTGCCATGTCATGGTTATGGCATGGTTATGTCAGTGGTGTGCTGCAGGGTTCAAGTAAAGTGTTTCCCAACTTTGCACTTTCTGAATCAAAATGGATAGATGTTTTGGTGTCATTGTTTTCCAATAATGCAAAACCAAACCAGCAAAGGAGACTTATTTTCCTTTTCTTTGTATTTTTTTTACCTAGTTTTCCCCCACAGTTCAGTCATCAACCTTAGCTAGATCTCCCCCTATGACACAATGCTGCTGAGCTGGGAGGGTGTAGGCTAGCATGTTCTTCCTCCTAGCACGGTTGCACTTTGGAGGAGCTATTAAAGCTATTAAACCTTTTGAAAATCTTAAAAAGTCTAACTGTGGTCAGCAACCAAGTTTTTAGAGCCAGGAGAGGATTCAGTCAAAATATGTTAATCGATGTTTATTTGATCAGTATTGGTAATACTGAGACATTTATTTATGGTAACATTTATGATGTTAGTAAAAGCAATATTTTTGTCATGTGTTATTACCAAATAATTATCATTCAAATTAACTAAGAGGGTGAAGTTTTTGAATGAACTTTAAGTTGGCTTGACAAAGCCATTGCTGTGCCAGGTGGTCGCTAAGGTGTGGCTCGGCCATTGCTGTGGTATCCCGGGTGGTTGCTCATTTCCTGCGATAACCTAAGGTAACGAAGAACAGTAATTCGGCTTTATCAAGCCAACTTAATCATATTGCTGAGTTATAATTACTGGAGAGTCATTATACATCATTGATCAGGTGAATATGCTTGGAGGAGAACGCTAACTGCTAATTCTGTTATGCCAGCTAACAGACTAGCCTTGTGCTGAGTGATGGGGAGAGGGAAGACCAACTTCTGTACCCAGAGAGAGACTGTGCCCTGGTAAATTGGGCCTAGTGACGCCCCTGTTAAATAAAAATCTTTGTATTCATCATGTGTTGTGAAAAAAGTCTTGTAGTATCATGATATTTTTGCCACCCCACCTCTACCTTAGCTCCTCCTTCATGTTCACCATTCTCTGGCGTGCTGTTTGTTAGCATTAAGCTATTTCTTCTTTTCCCTTATTAATCTTTGCTCTCAAGAACAAACATGCTGTAGCCTGTACAGTCTGATTGATTTTTGCTTGATTATTTGATGTGATTGGCTAACTGGCTTATCCACTTCAATTTAATATAAAAATGACATCCAATTGGATGCCTAACCCCAATGTTAAAGGTGACTTTTGAACCCTTATCGATCATGTAATTCATTTGAACATAAAAAAATGTAATTTCCACATTTTTAATGTTTCTTTTAAAACATTTAGCCTTACATACAGTACTGTATAAAATGCACCTAAGCACATTTTTAAAGCCATTTATATTGGCAATAATTGTTCTTGTGCTTGTAAAAACTACAGAATAAATGCCCCCAGCTATCATGTTATATTCCATCACCAGCACACTTGATTTAACATAATCAAGTATTGATTAGCCAAACCAGGTATTGGCAGTAAATAACTGCAAATAATACAGGGCTCCTATGAGGAGAGGTTAAACAAACACATTGACATACACAAAATATTAGTTGTATCTATAGTAATATAGTGTTTTTTCTGAACATATAAACGCTTACTGACCACATAAACAGCTTTTTAAATATAATTGCCTCAGGAGCCTAAAAATCAGAGAAGCAACAGATTGATTTCTGATTGCTTGTTTCGCGGACTGGTTGACTGATTGGCCTTTGATTCTTTTGTCCTCTCTCTGCAGGACCCGGCTTCGTCCACTGCCTCTGAGGCTGACTCGGACACAAGAGAGAGCGAGCCGGCCACCCTCAACTACAAACCCTCGCCACTGCAGAGGAAAATAGGTAGATCTTGCTTGATTCCTCCATTACATGCTGCATTCATGACTGAGCTAGAACTGGGAAGTCTCTAACTTTTGAGTAGGAAAACTTACAATTCATATTCAGAACTTTGGAAGAACTCCACCTTCCCTGACATTAATTTTCACATTCACATTGATTTATCAGTCTACTCAGGCTTTAGCAGAGCTCAGTAACACTGAGGTTAATAACTGATCATCACATTGATTGATCAGTCTACTCAGGCTTTAGTGGCGCTCAGTAACACTGAGGTTAATAACTGATCATCACATTGATTGATCAGTCTACTCAGGCTTTAGTGGCGCTCAGTAACACTGAGGTTAATAACTGATCATCACATTGATTTATCAGTCTACTCAGGCTTTAGCAGAGCTCAGTTGTTCAAACTTTTGCATATGACTGTTTATCACATAAACGGTAAAGCAAAGGACATTCATAGCACTGTTATATTGGACTGTTACTGTAAAATATTTTTTAAATGTTCCAAAAATCAATGCTTACTTCCACACTTTTAACCTGTAATGTTTATACACCAGTATATTGATTTAGAATTAAGAAAAGCGTCAGCAAGTTTTAATGGGTAGGTGGAAATGGCCTAGCCATGCTATCTTTAGGTGCCTCATTGGATGTGGGGGTGTAGAGGGGCTTCAGATGAATAGTTTAAGCTGCACCACAGCTGCAGTGAGCCATCCCAGGATTAGCTCTAAATTTACAAAGAACATGGTAAACTTGAGGATTGTTTAGTTCCTACAGGTGTTTCAATAAAAGTGCTTAAAGGGGCCTTGAGGGTTGTGTCGATTCCTGATGGGGAGCTTTAAATGGTAAAATTTGAGTTTTGAATTGTGGCTTTCGGCTGATTGATCTTTGTGTTGTTGTTCAGAGAAACAGCGAGAGATGGCCAGGAAGGGTTCGCTGAAGAACGGCACGGCCGGGAGTCCTGTCAATCAGCAGCCCAAGAAAAACAATGTTATGGCCAGAACAAGGTGAGCTATATTTTCTTTTGCTGTAATATCTGGAATAGGGTTAGACACATTTAGATGTAAACACCATATGTAAGTCAAAACAGAATGAAAATTCTCCTCTTCTGAATTCAAACATAAATGGGTTATTCCACGTGTCAGGTTGTCATGGATTACCAAAACAATATTCAAGCAAAATGCAATATACAGTACAAGTACTCCAATATACAATTCAAACAATTATTTCAAGACAATGCTGCAAATAGGTTTTTAGTTACAGCCCTGTTTCCAAAAAAAGTTATGTAATATGTGTAAAGTTATGTAAAATGTGCAGTACAGAATTACCAGACTGAATTGAACTATTAACTTGGTATTAATAAAACACTAAGGATATAAAATATAATTTTACTTTAATTTCATGTTAATAATGTATTATTACAGGTTTATTTATTGAAAGGTACACATAAAGTTGTTCATCTTTGACATTTAATTTAGTTTTCAAAATTGTGCTTTTAGATTCCCACATTACGAATTATTACTTTTTTGAACAGCATGCACTAAAAATCCATTTTGAACCCATAATTTCTCAAGCAGAACTAATTTCTTTCCTGAATAAGAACAGTTAAATCTCATTAATACATACAATAAAGTTTAAAGTTTTAAATACATGGATAATGTAAACAAATCTTGACATTTTCAAAACTTTAAAGGACTTTCCTGCGTAGAAAAAGATGGCCTGCAAGACAGGATACTTGGGTGCTACAGCAAGAAAACCTGTACAAAGTGTTTTCCAAAACTTCAAAGAGTGAAAGAATATATTACCTTCAAAAAAGATACAGATTTCCAGGAATGTTAAAAATGTGGAAATCTCATTGTATATGTTCATGAGATGTAACAGTATTTATTCTAAAAAATAGATAAGGAAGTTGGTTTAGTAGCTAGAAATCACAGGATGAAAAAGACCTGAAATTTATTTTGTTGAAATGTATAATTGACAGTTTTAATAGAAACAGAGAAATGCTGCAATAAATTAAAATTTTGCAAAAATAATTTTGATAAATGACTGAAATTTCTAAATTTCACAAATGAAGGATTTCACATTATCACAGAAAATACAGTTGTCAGTAGATAGACTAGTTTTTGGAATTTATGAACTTAAAAGCAGTTGATTTCAAATAAAATGTCATTCTTGGTGTTGTATTTACACTCAGCTTACATTCAGGTGACAAACTTGCTTAGACAAACTTCATAACTAAAAAGGTAATTGGAGCACAACTGTGAAATTTTGCATGGTCTCACGAATTGAATAGATGTTTTTATCTGAATTTATTGGTAATCCATGAAGTACCTGCAATGCCTTGGGTGAGGAGTGAAATGACCCAGATTTTAAAATAAACTACAAATGAGAAATATCAGATTACACAATGCTTTTTACAGTGGTGATAACTGCGACTTGTAACAGTGCAGAAGAAATGTTTGCTGTCGTGTGAATTGTCTGTTCTCTCTTATTCTCTCTCGCTCTCTTTCTCTCCAGGCTGGTTGTTCCCAACAAAGGCTATTCTTCTTTAGACCAGAGCCCAGATGAGAAACCATTAGTAGCTCTAGACACAGACAGGTACACTACAGTCATTTATTCATTTGTAGGTCAGTTTTTCTGCAGACGTCCAAGTTGACCCTCTATACGTTTGTTTCCCAGTGATGATGACTTTGACGTGTCCAGATACTCTTCGTCGGGATACTCCTCGGCTGAGGTGAGGTCACTAAGGGAACAGGTACCTATGATACACTGAGTAACCAAATCCACACTGTCTAGTTCTGTGTTTTCCCTCACAAAATGCCTTGTTTTCCACCCTGTTGTTCCATTACAAACTACAAACAATCCCCTTTTCCACTTAAACATTCCACGTCACTCACAAAATGATCTTCTTTGTCCTAAAGAAAATAGACCATTTCCTCCTTAGACAGTACCATCTTCCACAAAACACGCTGTTTTTTCTTCACAAAGGCAAGTTTTGTGAACTATCCAACTTTATCTAAAATCACATTACTACTATTTCCAAAATTTTGTCTTATTTTCACCTCATCACACATCTGTAGCACTCCCTGTGTTATCGCAGTATTTACAGTGAATGTAATGATTGAAAATAATAAATAATTTGTTTCATTTGTTGAATACGACAAACCCAATTCCAAAAAAGTTGGGACAGTTTGTGAAATGATATAAAAACAAAGCAGTGGTTAGTACATTCGGTTTGACATGTCCGAAATTGAAAACACAATATTTGATGTTTTAATTTATTATAAAGAACCTATTTTTTGTAAATACATACTCATTCCAAATATGATGCCTGCAACATGTTCCAAAATAGTTGGGACAGGAGCATGTTTACAACTGTGTTACATCACCTTTCCTTTTAACAATATGCTGGACCGTGCGTCAGTCCATTTCAGATGAGCTCCAACCCAGAGAAGTTGGTGGCGTTTCTGGATGTTGCTGACATTTTACATCACATCTTTTAAAATGTTTTCTGAACATTTAACAACAATACTTGTCTTACATTTTTGAAACGTGTTGCAAGCATTAATTTCAGAATGAGTGTGTATTAACAAAACACAATGAATTTGACAAAGTAAAACATTAGTTGTCTTTGTATTGTATTTTGTTTAACTACAGGTCAAATGAACTTACAAATCACTGCTTTCTGTTTTTATTTACGTTTCACTTACTGTCCCAATTTTTTGGAAATACTATCATTGCAACCCTAGTAACTGTTGGTAACTAAATAGTTGATGCTATTTGAAGTCTGCCTTTTAATTCTATGTACATACACTCAAAGGATTATGGATATGTCATATTTCTGAGTCATTCCACAAAAAGTGTGCCATTTGATGTCATGTATAAGAGACAAAATCTGCTACTAAGTGTTTTTAAAGCTTAAATATAGTAATATAGCAGTATAGTAATTCATTGAAAGTGTAACCCTGATTACAAAGAGCATGGTAGACTGTTTAGCCAAAAATATTCCACCCCATCACATTCCTTTCTGTCACAATTTCGACATAATGGCATTGTAATAAGTAATTGAAACCATGGAGGATATAAAACTGTTTCTTGAAATATGAAAATATTTAAAATGTGCATGTCCACTTGGCACTGATACCGTGGAATAACACATTTTTATAAAATGTGTCTTTTTAAGTAAAAAGCTAAATACATTAGATGGCCAAAAGTATGTGGACACTGGTCCTAATTATTAAGATCATGTGTGTCAGCGACACACATTGCTAATAGGTGGATAAAATCAAGCATGTAGCCATATAATTCAGCTCATATAGCCTTCAGCTATAAGGCAGTTCTCGAAATTTCATCCTTGCTAGATCTGCCCCACTCAACTGTAAGTAATATTATTGTGAAATAGAAGTGGAATAACAACAGCTCTAAGCTGCCTCTGAAAGCAACATCAGTGCAAGAACTGTGTATCAGGAGCTGCATGAAAGAGGTTTAAATGGCCAAGCAGCTGCACACAAGCCTAAGATCACTATGCGCAATGCCTGGTGTTGGCTGGAGTGGTGTGAAGCACAAGCCAGGCCTCACAAATCTTGTGAAAAGCCTTCCTGGAAGACTGAAGGCTATCATAGCTGCAAAGGAGGGCCAACTCCATATCAGTGCCCATGGATTTGGAGTGGGATATCTAACAAACTCAGATAGGTGTCCACATACTTTTGGCCATATAGTGTAAGTTAGCATGACCTGGCCAGCTCATCTTTCCACTTAAAGTATGAAAAGGCATTTAGCAGTGTGGCCCTCCACTCACGTCCACAGCAAATAAACCAGGACCTGAACATCCAGCTGCTGAAGGACGGCTACAGACTGGACGAAATCCCCGACGACGAAGACCTGGACCTCATCCCGCCCAAATCCGTCAACCCCACCTGCATGTGCTGCCAAGCCACGTCTTCTACTGCCTGTCAGATCCAGTAAAACATCTCTCTATCAGTCTATCTCTCTCTCCTGACCCTCATCCCCTTATAAAAAAAAGATTAATATCAATATTACAGCACGAAATGTACAGTTAATGTTATGAACATGGTGTAATATAGACACATACATGCACATACACCCGCACACATATACATACATACACACACAATAATGATAATTAATGTTAAGACTATTATTGGTAGCGCCCTCCTATGGTAGGGAGCTCTGTATGCTAGCCAGCTAGGAGCGCTTATGTACTCGCGTCTCCTAGTGGATGTTGTGTAATATTGTACAAGTGGAGGTAGATCAGTAAAAAAAAAAATGTCGATTTCCAGTTTATTGAACTGTGCATAAAACACTTGGTGGCGCTACCGCAGACTGGAGTAGGCTTATCCACTGTAGTGACTGCTTCCATGCTGTATTTACTGCATTTACTTTATCATTCTATGTCTTTTGTCTTTGTTTTTTATTATTTTTCTAAATGGACAGCTGTACTGTATGTGCTTGAGGACGTTGCCAAGGCATCATGTGATTTTTGTAGCATTTTTAGGATGTTGTTATGCTAGTTGCTCATTTGCGGCGCTAAAAGCAGCATCGTAACACCGCACTTTGTTTTTGTTTACCACTTCTGTTTACTTTTTATTCACAGAATTGTCAAAGACATTTATTTATTTATTACATATCATGAGTTGTCAATGGTTTGGAGAGGAGTATGTCATTGAAAAAGAACAGTATATCAAACTAGCTACAAACTAGCTAGCTACTCAAACATAGTAACCATTTAGCAGCATAAACATTACTTATTTCACCAATGGCAAACCGTGATTATCACAACTAGGTCTTCAGTTTGGGCCATCAATGTCAAAACTTTGTCAAAAAAATGGGAAAACATTTTTACGCTAATGCTAATTTGTGCTAGCTTATTGCTAACATTCTAAGAGTATGTTAGCAATAAGCTAATGCTGATGCACATGAACATGAGCAATTTCTGGCTGTTCTAGATTAAACATGAACATTTGAAGCTTGTAAAATACATCCCATGTTTCATTTGAAGCTCGTAACAGACACTAACGTACATTTTACCTTGTATCAGTTCCACAGCAACTCTTCTAACTTCTAACACTGAAATTTGGTCAGACTGATGCTCATTTTCACAATCAATAATGTATCTAGAACCTCCAGAAGGCAGAGAATGACATTTTAACTCATGAAATTGGTCACAGTCACTATAAATAAAAAAAATTGGTTGATTCCACAGTTGCTTCATAATGTTTGTAGTCAGCCTAATGTGTTAGGCCTTCAGTTCAGCTCCTGAAGGTCTAACCAATGGGAGCGCTTGCTTGATAAAATGGAGACAGAAAATCCTGATTTTTAAATCTAGATTTTAACCCTTTAGTATCCAACCAAACTTAACAATGAAGTAAAGAGTATTACTACAGTACTTGGTGATTACTACAGTACTCTATATTGAAATTAAATAAAAATTAACTATAAATTGATTTTTGTCATATTACTTCACATTGCAGTTGCAGTATGCCTTGCAATCTTTTGGCCTGCACTGTTTTACCTAAATCATCTACTTATGAGTCATATACCAATCTAGATCTGTGATTGGTCACAGCACGCAGTCATTGTGATTGGTGAAATAAGCTTATTTGCATTTTGAGATATCAGTACTGCAAAGGCTGATATCATGATAGGCCTAGCACCACTGACTGCTTCTGAAAATGAGCTTCTAGCATTGTCACAAAAATTTAATATAAACCCACATTGCTGTCTCTGTGTTCCCTTCACAGTCGTCCTTAAAACCAAGAGTGACCCCCTATTGTGTTTTCACCAAAGAATGGTCACCAGAGTCCCTCCCTGCATGCATATCCTGACTGAAATCCTCACTATTTGCATTACAACAAAGAATAGCTTCGGTGATATTAATAATTCACTGATAAAACATTTGTCCTCAATATTATGACCCATAATAAAGTCTAAAGAGTTTGATGGGATGTTCATATTGTGGCATTAACTTTAAAATGACCTCTAATTATTCCACGCGTTGCTTTAATTTCCACTATATCACACATTAGCTTATGTTTATTGCTTGTCCTGTAAGAGTTTGGTTAGTTAGCCTAACCATGATTAGTTGCAATCAATAAAAGTGAAGGAAAACAAACTCTAAATGATGAAACATTTGTATTATCACTAAAATAAAACGTAATCAAAGTGTATCGCCATGTCAATTTAAAAATAATGATACTATTAAATTTTCATTGTGGTCCATAAGCTCTGATGTACTGTATACATTTTCTTTCTTTTTTATTCAGTTTTTTTTTGTTATTTTGCCTAAAACCGTATACGAGAACCAACAAATAAATGCTACTGTCAGTATATCTTAGAATAATTTTGCTACTCAGTTCTCATTATGGTCCATAAGCTCTCAAATACAGTCAAAAGTTTGAACACCCCCAGTCAAATTACATGCTTTGTTGGTTTTCTAAGTGAAAATAAGTCAGCGCATCCTGTATGTAGAAAACACATATTTTATGCAGTTTTAGTGCAAAATTTTTGTGCACAAATTCTATTTATTTGCTGAATTTAACAAATAAGAAGTGATGAAAAAAGCTATGACATCACTCAAAGTCAACAAACCGTGACTTGACCGAGGTGCCAAGACTTTTGCACATGACTGTATGTACACATTTTTCATTGCACAAACTGATTTTTTTGACTTTTTAATTCTATTTTTACTATTTTGCAAAACTCACATACGCAAAGCGACAAAAACTACTGACGGTTTATAGTTAGTTCCCATTAAAGCCCATAAGCTGCTTTTTTTTCATTGTACTATATATTTTAAATTACCGTCATTATTACTTTTATTGATATTTTAACTTTTACCACATTGTTTACTTTAAGCTTTTTGAAGTCAGTTGAATACTTTTTATTTTAATTTATTATCTATTTATTTATTGCATAAGTTTTCTGAGCCATAACTTGCATAACCCGACACAAGACGCAGCAAATAAAAGATGTTGCCAGCACACATTTTGGAGTAATTTTGTTATTCAGTTTTAGTTGTGGTCCATAGGCTCTAATGCACAAAATGTGTTTTTTTATGAATTTTAATAATTTTTGTTACATTTTATTACTGTTAATGTTATTTTGCATTAGTCATAATTCACATATGTAACTAAATACAGTAGAACTTGTGACATTAGTGACATTAAAAGCACTGTTATTTAATGAACTCCCACAGTGTTAAACAGGGAAAATTGACCTCAGTAGGTTTATAACTGGTGGTTTTTACTGTGTTTTCATTTTAAACTGCATTATCTGTGCTAATCCTCAGTTTTCATATTTAAGCTGTTCACATTGTGCTTGTTCTGTCCTCTGTTTGCCTTAAACAGTCCATCACAGCATTATTTTTTATGTTCATTTTTATCTGCCAAGATCCCTGTTATATTTGTTTCATGCAAGCTGTAAAATGGACACAATTCTTTGTTACTGATAGTTTTTTTTTTTTACAGTTACATTACTGATGGTGAAAATATCCATTTACATATTAACTATGTTATTACTCTTCCCAGTTGTGTATGGAACCAATAAAACATGAAGCAGAAATATGCCACATGATTCCATGTTGATAATATGCAGTGTTTATTACTGAGAAAAGTGAAGTGACAATTTAATAATAATGATTAAGTTGGCTTGAAATAGCCACTTTACCGTTCTTTGTTGTATTTTGTCATAGTTTTTGAGTAAGAACCATAAAACTTTGCAGGATTGTAGAGGAACATATTTTAATTTTTTCTGCCTCAAAGGATGTTTTTTTTTACACATTACATACAGATGCACATAGCACACATATTAGTAACCACCTAGAATACCATAGCAATGCCCTAGCAACACTTTAGCAATCACCTGGGATACCATAGCAATGCCCTAGCAACATCTTAGCATCTGGGACACTATAGCGTGCCCTAGCTACACCTTAGCAACCACCTGGGATAGCATAGTGACAGCCTTATCACACCTTAGCAACCACCAACATAACAATGGCCTAGCAACATAATAGCAACCACCTGGGATACCATAGCAATGCCCTAGCAACAACATAGCAACTATGTGGGATAACATAGCAATGGCCTAGCTACACCTTAGCAACCACCAACATAGCAATGGTCTAGCAACACCATAGCAACCACCTGGGATACCATAGCGACAGCTTTATCACACCTTGGCAACCACCAACATAGCAATGGCCTAGCAACACCTTAGGAACCACCTGGGATTTCATTGCAGCACTTTAACAACCACCTAGGAATCCATAGCAACAGTTTTGTCAAGCCAAGTTCATTCACAAACTTTCCTCTTCCAGTTGATATTTTTGTTTTTTTGTTTTTTTAAGAAAAAGAAACTACAAAGAGTAATAAAAGTGACAGACACAATTGGTTTTATTTATTTTTTTATTTTAATTCATCCTGACCTGAACAAACTGAATGGTCATGGAAAAGGACAGACGACTGTTGCACTCTTGAAAAATAATACATTGAAATTAATATGAAACATTTAAATTATTGTCATATGTACAAATGCGGTTATTCCGAACCTACATAGCAGTTATGCAAACACAGTCTGTAGCTGCTGCACTGAGTACAATCTCAAAAAACTTCGCAAGAACAGGATTTGTTTGTCACGCAAAACATCACTGAGTGGTTTGATCGTTGCATTCTACATTCATAACATGAAGGAAGTTTATGGAAGAGGCACAGGCTGGGAAACGATGTACAATGGCAGTGTTTCTGACGTCATCACGTGTTTTCACGTTTGAAATCAAGGTGAAAGAGAACGACCTGAAAATCCTCCATGTTTGGAAAAGTGCATTTGAGTTGCAAAGCTAAAGACAGAACAGTATACTGAGCAGATAAGACCATTTTTGGATGAGTGACTTCTGTGGTTCCTCAGTGGTTCTTTGTTGGATTTACAGTTCTAGAAAAGAATCTTAATTGGTATGGAACCTAGAGGTTCTAAAAAGGTTCTTCACATTCGCACCCCTCACTTAAAGATGTTACTTTCAAGCAGTGGTCCTCAGGGCCCCACAGGTGGGCCACAATTTTGCTTGAGTAAAAATGTGGAGGGGGCTCTAAAGACCACTCCAATGAAAGGCTCCTTAGGGAACCAAAAGGGGTCTTCAAATCTGGATCCTGAATCTAGATTCCAGTCTCCATTTTGTAGTCACTGGTAGGTACGACACTAGATGGCCAGACGTCCAGTTAAAGAGGCACTCCAACCAAAATTTAAAAATGTAACCATGGCTTCATCTGTTGTAAACATGCCTGTCCAGCTCTTACAGCCGTCCAGCAATATTCTGTGAGAGTGTCTGGTTTAAAAACTAGGAAACCTCCCTTCTGATGATGTAACTTGAAGGTGGGAGGAAAAACTACAAGCATGCTGGGGTGGATACTTGGTGGGCAGGCTGTTTTTCCCCGCTAGCTGGCCATCACATCTACTTATTAGTCTATACATCAGTGGCTACGCTAGCACTCAGGATTTCCTTATTGTTGTAGGGAGTCCCAGTTGTTTTATGATGTATTTGCTTGATGCATGCTGGGAAATGTAGTGAGATGAATGAATTAATGGTTGAAAAGACGAAAGGAATACAAAATAATTGTGAATTCTGTCAAAACAGTGAGGCTGATGGATGCAATACTGCACTCCACAACACAACAACAAATATTGTGTTAAGTTCTAATTTTAGACTGGAATTCCGCCAGTGATTACAAAATCCAGGACTGGAAATGGGATTTGAAGACCTCTGGTGTATGGCGCTGCTCCAAAGAACCCTTTATATAATGTATTCCATGAAGATACCCTCTTTCTACCAATATACAATTATAATATTTATATTTGTGCTGTTTAGTGGCTGCTTGTATCCCCAAAATCGATGTCACAGCATTGAATATTTCAAGTAAACCAAACTTGTGTCATTTTGAGCTCCTTGCTAACATACATTCACTGAAACTGTAGAAATACAAGGCTACACAGCATGCATCCCTCTCAGACTTAACCCTAAAAATTAATAAACCAAACATATATTAATAGTTACTAAGCCTGTACAGCAAAATTGCCATCATTAAATTGAATTAAACTGAATTTAACACTGAGAAATACATTTGTAGGCATTTTACCGTATATTATTATCTATGTTAGTAAAACACAAAACTACAAAAACAAATAAAATACCATATAAAATGCTGTCTACAAAATAAAAGCCCTCCACCATAGATTCCCTTTGTGGAAGCTAACACTAAAGGTGCCACTAGGGGGCGACCTAGTAATGCGGTACAGCGATAGCACTGTGTTTTCAAGGCCAGCTGACAGGTGTCAGCACAGTTTCACTTCTGATTGCAAACATGTTCTTTGTTATAAAAAAGGAGGTGGGTGTTTGTACATAAATAAAAACATTATTTTACAGCCATTGGTTATAAAGCATTAAAAGATAAAAACAATATGCATCAACATCATCGCATAATTCACACCTGTACCTGCTTAGCTTTAGGCTACGGCTAAAAACGTCCATTATAAAATGATATTTGCTGTGATTGAGACGTCAAGTGAAGCCCAGTCAATGCAGTGAACGGCCAGATTCGTGTCATTTTGACACCGAAGGCAGCCGCTGCCCGTTAGGTAGTCTCTATTTGTTAGCAAACTTTAGCTATTTTACGCTAATCACAGGGAATCTCAGAGATAGCCCAGATTATGGTGTTCCTATAAAAGTCCCATGTCCATTTTACTGACTTACAGACCACTCAAGGTCGTTCTGTTAAGGTCCCTGATTCTCTTAAATGGGAATTCCACCAACATTTCTGCGTAATTCAGTCTTTGAGACGTAAACAAAGTCTTTCTGAGTGGTTTGATTTAAAATGCTAACCAACTCGGGTTTGTTTACAGTGGTGGTGATGGGAACCAGGGGTCACAACACATTTAATGCAAATACAGCCACTTATTTACTCTCCAAAACCAACTACATGTGTCGTCTAAGCTTCTATATGTAATGCTGATGGCAAAATAGCAGTAAACCTGAAAAATAAGGTCTTTTTGGGGACTATTTTACCTTAAAACGCCACGTATCCTTCCATCTTCAATGGATTTCAGGCCAAAATCTTACCTCAAACTCAAAACAATGTCTGAGAGATGTTGTGTTTAACTTTCTGTGAAGGAGCTTTTATAGGCGCTGTTTGACATCTGCTTCCTATCACCTCCACTGTGAACGTTAGAATGGTACATTTCACATCAAGCCACTCTTAATGGCTGATGGCATCTTAAACACTTAATTACGCAGAACATTTGGAACATCATTGGAGTCCCGATTAAAGGAAAACTCAAAATGTTTTAAAAATGATGTTATATAGCCGCCCAAAGGCTCCCACTTTGATATTAGCTGCACTCAAGTGTTCGTATACTACCACAAGTCTAGCAATGTGGCCTCCTCAGGTTGGCTGGTAACTATTGAAAGCTTATTTGAATGTATTTCCCTATAGTTTAGTTTAGCATAAAATGGTCATTGGCCAAAAATGACCCTATTTAGCTTGTGTTCCACGTAGATTGTAGTCTATGGGAGTTCATAGCATTTCACTAAAAAACATCATTTTTTGAACACTTTAAAAAGATAAACGTTTTTTTTGCGATTTTCCTTTAAACAGCAAGAAACCATCCCCACTATTAGCATCGCCACAACTACCACTGGATCATTATAGCTGACGTTCAAGTAACCATATTTACATGTCTGTGCTGCTCGTGTAGCTGATTATATGTGCAAGAGAGTTTCTTTCTGCTGTGTTGAAGTCTGAGCGAGATGGCTGGCTCGCCAGCTCAGACTAGCGGCAGTCGGCGTCGGCGCCACTGTACGTTGAAGACCCTGTGACATACACGTCATACACACTTAGTGTTCTGCGAGGAGGATGATTTGGAGATCAGACGGTGTGGGTGAAGTTTCGGCGCCGCTCAAACGCCCTCGGCGTCCCCGGAGCCGGAGGACGAGGTGGAGGTGGACGAGTGCCGTCTCCTCCCGTGCGGGTTGCGCAGCATGGCGGGGTGGAAGCCGTCGTGCCGGCGGGCGTGTTTGCTCAGGTGGTCGCTCCTCATGAAGCACTTGGTGCAGAGCGGGCAGGCGAAGCGCTTCTCGCCCGTGTGCGTGCGGAAGTGACGCGTCAGCTCGTCCGAGCGAGAGAACTTCTTGGCGCAGTCGGGCCAGGTGCACTGGAAAGGCCTCTCGCCTGAAACCAGAACCAGCCGCGAAGAAAGGAGGGTTAGAGAAACGTCATGCATCGTTATATATATACACACACGTTTATGTGATGGTCAGGTGTCCACATACTTTTGGCCATTATAAAATACTTGCGTGTAAAAGTATTTAACTACATATTAATGGCCATAGTGTCCAGCAAGGTCATATAGGTGTGATGGTCAGGTGTCTATATATTTATATATATATATATATATATATATATATATATATAATATATATATATATACACACATATACACACGCAAGTATTTTATAATGGCCAAAAGTATGTGGACATCTGACCATCACACCTATATGACCTTGCTGGACACCATGGCCCTATGTAGTTGCCCACCCCCCTGCATACTTGTATATTTATATAGTGGACCTGTAGGGCTCATTATAGGCCCATTATAAGCTCATATGATCTTATAGTGGACCTATAAGCTCAAAACCAATAAGTACACCAATGAATCGCCCATAAATCACTGCGCTACTGGGCTGGCTTTGCTCCAGAGTAACCAGGCAGAGCACGTGCTGCGTGTTTACAGCACGAGGTGGAGGAAGCGCGCGCACGCCTGACGTACAAAACCTGGCGCGCTCGCGCTCTGTGGAGAGGGGCGGGGCGGGGGGTACAGAGTGTACCGGCTACAGAAACACAGCCATGACAGCGCAGAGTGCGGCGGGGTGCCAAAACATAATCACAGGGTATCAACAGCGATCGGACATTAAACTCGGACATTAGACAAGACGATCCGATGAGTCCAGCGACGCGTCTAGTTTTTACGAGGCTGCTGTTCGAATTTTCCCGTTCCACCTTAAAACTGCTGCACCATTTAAGGTGGAACGGGTGAGTTCGGGTAGGAAGTTACTGCAATTAGCTGTTCTGCCAAACAGTGCGGCGCACGTGTTGTTGTTTTCTTGCTCTTACTTTTGATGACTAACCGTTCCTCCCTCGCGCTCCGCCTTCGCGGTTACACCCCCCCTCCCCGCCACCCCTGCCCACCCTCCTTTTCACAGCACGAGCACCGATTCCTGTAAAAGACTCGAACACTCTCACGCGCGCGCACACGCACTTTTTGAACTGCCCCCCCTCACCCCCCACTCTCTCACTCACCTGTATGCACGCGCAGGTGTGCCTTCAGGTGGGAGGACTTGCCGTAGACTTTCCCGCAGCCCGCCTGCGGGCAGCGGTGCCGCTTTTCAGCGGGAGCGCGAGCCTGGCTCCGGCGCGAGCCCGAGTGGAGCACGCGCTTGGGCTCCGCCGTGCCCGCGCCGCACCGGTTGAGCTCCAGCAGGATCCGCGCAACCATCAGCAGCGTGCGGCTCTCCTGGCTCTCCTTGGCCGCGTCCTCCTCGCCGCCGCCGGACACCAGACACGTGGCGAGCTCCGTCATCGCTCCCGAGCGCAGTCCTGTGTTCCGTAAAGACGCGCAGACAAACAGCAGCGCTCCGAGTTCTCTCCGCTGCTCAGACGAAGACGGCCGAGAAAAGCCGAAAACGCGGTGCCGAGTTCGGTTCTGTTCGTGACGGGGCCGAGTTAGCGTACCCGGGCTCGGCCTGACTCGGTTCAGGGGTCGGTCTCTCGGTTTAGGGCAGAGGTCCCGAAGTCGTGCCGCCGCGCGCCGCCTCGCCTCATAACTGCGTCAACTTTCTGGCCACTGCCGTTTCTCTCCTGAAAGAGGCACTTTCGCGGAATCCCGGGGTGTCGTCATCACCACCCCGCGCTCTGATTGGTCGGCGCCGTCGTTTCCACCACGCTTCGAACGAGCTACCAGGAATTACCAAGGAAGCAGCAGACTGACTGCGCAGCGAGCCAATCGCGTTCGCTGAGGGGGGGAGGGGGCGTGGCCTGTCTGCTACATGTGCTCCGCTGTTGGAAAAGCTGAGGGCGCGTCTCGTTACTGCTCTTCACTCCCCCTCAAAACGAGTGTCCCTACGTCCAAACAGCACTGCATACTACACTCATTCGCGCCAGTATTACTACACTCTAAAGGAACGTGGTTCTTCATGGGTTCTTTAGTAAAGGGAAGGTTCTGTTTAGAACCATGAGTCATTTATAGAACCATTTAATGCTTAAATGGTTCTTTGCATCCTGTAATGGTTCTTCAGATTGATAGAGAATGTGTTGTGTATGGTTCTATATAGAACCTTTTTGAAAATGGTTCTATATAGCACCAAAAAGTGTTCTTCTGTTGTTACAAGCCTGATGTCACTACCATAGCTGAACCCTTTTCAGTGCTACATAGAACCATTTTCAACAAGGTGTTTATAGAACCATATACATTCCATTCTCCATGGTTCTTCAAGGGTTCTTTAGTCAAGGAAATGCTTGCAACCCATTCTCCATCAATCTGAAGAACCAGCCTGTTCTATATAGGACCTTTTTGAAAATGGTTCTGCTATTGGTACGATGTCAAGCCTACAACCATTACAACCATTTTTGGTGTTATACATGTACTATATAGAACCTCATACAACCCATTCTCCATCAATCTGAAGAACAAGATTGTTCTATATAGAACCTTCTTGCAAATGGTTCCATATAGCACCAAAAGGGTTCTGCTATTGGTTCCAATGTCACCTTGTAACAATACTAGAACCCCTTTTGTGCTATACAGAACCATTTTCCACAAAGTTCTATATAGAACCATATACAGCACATTCTCCATCAATCGGACAAACCATTTCACCTTGCAAAGAACCATTTAAGCATGCAATAGTTCTCAACTCATGGTTCTAAATAGAACCATTCCCTTTACTAAAGAATCCTTGAAGAACCATCTTTTTTTCTGTTCTTCTGGCTGACTGAGCTTGGCATTGGGCCGCACAGTGACCTCCACACCAACGTTGTGTCCCAAACGGTTTCTTTAAAACAGAGCATTTCAAACTAAACCGCTCTGAATGACTTTGTTTACATCTTAATGACTTAATTATGCTGAAATTTGGAATCTGGTGGAATTTCCCTTTAAGACAGTAAGATAGATTCCCCTGAGAGGAAATGGTGAGGGCAAGTGAACGAGGGTGTGTTTAAACTGGGCTGAAATGGAACAGGTTTGTAGCTGCCCTCATTCACCCGTGATTGATATCCTTGCCACATGTCATACTCAGGGAGGAAAAGGCCTGGAAAAGAAGGAAAGAAGGAAATTCACACTGGAACGGCTTTATAACAACGCTTTATGACATATTTATACAGCCTACAGTCTAAAACTGAAACGTTATAGACTACTACTGCCACACTACTACTGCGTCCTATTAAAGGGCCCATATCCTACATTCACCTTGTTTGTTTACCACTGACAGTGCTTGGTTTTATGTACCAAAAACACCATTTTCCAGCCTTTGGTTCTCCCTTAAAACCAAACACTGTTTTAGTTACCGTCTCTTTAAGACTTATATATGCAAATGAGCTATGTTCTGATTGGCTAAGCCTCATACAGAAAGCAGTCCAGGTTGAAACACTCCTTATAACTTTGGTGTGAATAGGCAACTTCAAAAGCTGGATAGGCAGATATATGTAAATTAGGCATTTTTGTGACATCACAAAATGTTTCAAAACTTTAAAGGGCCCATATCCTACATTTATCTTGTTTGTTTACTTCTTACTATACTTGGCTTTATGTACCAAAAACACCATTTTCCAGCCTTTGTTTCTCCCTTAAAACCAAACACTGTTTTAGTTACCGTCCCTTTAAGACTTATATATGCAAATGAGCTATGTTCTGATTGGCTAAGCCTCATACAGAAAGCAGTCCAGGCTAAAACACTCCTTATAACTTTGGTGTGAATATGCGGGGCTAAATTGCTAAAGGCCTTTTAGGCAGATATATGACATTAGGTGTCTTTGTGACATCACAAAATGTTTCAAAACTTTAAAGGGCCTATATACTGCATTTCTCTTGCATTGTATTTCTCCCCTAAAGTCCAATTATAGAAGCTTATAATAGTTTGTGTGGTTTTGTGTATCAAAAACAGTCATCATCCATTTTTACGTGGCAATCCAGGCTGAAACACTCCTTATAACATCAGTGTGAATGGGCGGGGCTAAACAGCTGCAGCCTGAGTAGGCCTTTAGGGCTGTTTTTGCAGCCTATTTTGCATATATGGACTACATGGACTGAACTTTAACAGTGTTTACATACTACACTGAAGCCTTTTACTTAAAAAAAAAAGAAAACGAGTTTTTCCGTGAAGTGGGCCTTAAAAGAAGAAGAAAAATACGAGGAAAATGTAGGGTATTGGCCCTTTAACACAGTTTGCCTCCAGCCTCCACATGAATGGGCTCGGCCGGAGAAGGAGCGAGGCAGGGAGGGAGAAGCCGACCAATAGGAGCGAGGGGATGGTGAACGTGGCCAATGGGAGCGAGCGTAGCGTGAGCTCGGCCAATCAGAGCGAGGGAAATATGACTCTTTTCGGAGTAATCCGCGGACACGAGTTCAGTTCAGCCTAGGACACGATTCTGGGAAAGAATTATTTACATCGAAGACAGGAGTTCATACACGGGGCGGCTCAAATGGAGGCGAATGGAAACAGATTTTTTACAGCTTATTAATAATAATAATCATCTTACACGAAATAAAAGTTAATATGAGTAACATTACAGTCAATACAGGGCTTCACTCTCATGAAATAGTTCTGTTTTCCAGTGTTGAATTTCGAACTCTCCGTTCCACCTTAAATGGTGCAGCAGTTCCATTCCGGCGCCTCAACTGCTGCACCATTTAAGGTGGAACGGAGAGTTCGAAATTCAACACTAGAGAAGCTGGCGAATTTGGAAACCAACCTCAGTCCCGCTGTTTAAAGCGTCAGACTTGCATCTTAATCGTTGTAAACAATGATTCTCTGTGCTCGTGTTGCGTGACTAACATACACACTCAACTTATGGAGCAACGGGGTCACCGAGTTTCATGTTTACCATGAAAGAAGAAGCGAGCAAGTCGGTCTGTTGATGAGAAACTAGACAAACAGCCACATTTACTCGGTGTAACATGTGCTTGCTGGGCCTGTGAGGAAAAGGGGTCTGTGTTTCCCCCCTGGTGTCACATTTTAGTCTTTAAAACGGGGCTAGTTTGGCTTCTACACCCACCTTTGAGCCCCCTCTGTTTATTTTAGGCCCTATCTGTATCTACAGCACCGCTGATAGATGCTAACCGTCCTCCACTCTCAGTACCCGAGGAGATTTTGGGGTCATTCGTCGACGTTACACACTTTTTAGGCTCCTCTGCTAACACGTCTGAAACATGGCCTCAGTTTCGGCGCGGTAACCGGGAGGCTCAGGTCTGGGTTTGTTTTGAACAGACATAATCAAGATAGGTCGGGGTCACGTTGTTGTTTTCACTGCGTGTCTGTTTTTATGGAACAGAATGTTCTCCTCTTTCTGCTCAGCTCTAATGAGAACTTGAGCGCCATCTGGCGTTTGTTCCTCCCCCCCCACCGGCAAGTCCCGCCTCCTGCGCCGCGACTGGTGTTCTACTCGCTACCGGCCCGCCAGTCGCCACCAAGTATTCGAATTATTGGCCAATCCAAACACAGGAAGGGAGAAAAAAAAAAAAGAATAAATAACAGCATAAAAAAATTATAAATTATTTATTTATTTGTTTATTTTTAGCTTCTATCATTACTTAAAAATGTTACCCATGAATTCTATTGTATAAACAAATGTATAAAAAATTCTGATTGAAAATATGTAAGTATTTAATTGTACATTATTTATATTCAGTTGTAATTATATAATTAAAATATAAAATAACATAACTTAATAATTATATATAAAAATATAAAATATGAATTATTTATTATATTTTTTTATCTTAATAAAAATTAAACACATAAGTAAATAATAAAAAATATTTTAAAAATATAAAACTAAAAATAAAATTAAGTATACTATGTAAAAGATATTATGTAAAATATTATTATCGATATATAGGTATTTATTTAATTTTATATTATGAAATTTTACCTAATTATAGACAAACCAATTATTCATAATTTTATTAATTGAATAGTTTATAATTAACTATGTATTATAAATTTTATTTCAATAAATTAAATACATAAGTAAACAAGTATTTTTCAAATTATAAATACAAAAAAATAAATAAAAATAAGTATATTCTATAAATATTATATAAAATATTATTATTGAATATATGTATTTAGTTACTATACACACACACACACACACACACATATATATATATATATATATATATATATATATATATACACACACATTAAGGTGGCCTGATAGTGTAGAAAAATAAGAGCACAGAGAAAACCCACTTCACTTAAATATTCATTTATTTAATAATACATGCCAAACATCCTATTCACATTAAGGAATATTAAAGAATACATATTTTTGTATTTGCATCCAAATACTCAACCGACTATGATGGGAGGACAAGACTAGTCTCGCCCTTTGCCCTCTTTTCTCTCTTTTCCCAGAATTCATTTCACATCCTGTGGAAGAACGACATGCATTTTTTTTAGGACACTAAATCAACTATGACCCCTTCAGATAAAACTACGATATTATTGCGGAAACATGTGCTCGGACTCATTAGCATACAAGTGCTCACAAATAAAGTAAAAAAAAAGAAAAGGAGGAGGAGGGTGGGGGTGGACTTAAAAGTGGAAGTGTCCTTCACAAACCTGTATGCTACAGTATAGGAAAATATTAAGAAAATACTGTACATGAAGTTTCCTTGTATTGTTTTGGCACAACGCTAGGTAGGTCAGATGCACTGAAACCTTCTCTTCGTCTCGTTCGTGTCAAACGCGATGACCTTTTACAACCACAGCGACATTTACAGGACGTATACGGAACCTTTACATGTGGTGACCGGGTGCTTGAGGGAATAGCTCAAGGCCTTGTTACTCTAATCCAGGCCACAGCACTACATAGTGAAGGGTTTGACTCGACTCACTAAACCGTGGGGCGTTGAGGGCCACCGTGGTCAGATCTGAGGAACTCTTGTAGTCGCTGGAACCAGTCCAACAGTGGGCCTAGTGATGGTCTATTAGGAGGCCTTTAGGAAAATACAACAGGCTATGTACATCTATAGATACTCCACCCTTCTTTTAAAGCTTTTATGGCCTCATCTTCAGTTTGGTTTGAAGGGTCATGATAGGATGCGGCTTCTTGCCAAGAACCGCAGATGCCAAATTCCAAGTAAGTCAGTGATTAAAACTATATGAAAAGCACAGTGATCTGTATATGCGCAAAATAAGTATTTGACACTTTCAGACTTTTTTTGGTCAACACAGATCTCCCATGACTACTTCCTAACCCTGCAATACAGAGGCGAATGATAGTGATTAAATATTAAAATCTCTTAGCGCTATTGCACATGAATAAGGCAAAAGAACTAGGTTACATAGTGGAGGCGGACGTGACACTGACAGACTTCCTAACATCACTTTAACATCTTCCTTTCAGACTATTAAACCTCACGATAGCTTCCTTTTGTTTTGTATTGCTTCAGCTTTTTAGTTCTAACGCTACCAGCCTAGATATTACAATTTTCAGGGCTTTTCACCGATCCGACATTGATCCCGTGAATATGGCAACGATGACTTTCTTTAGAATAAAACGTATTAAGTACCAAGCGGCTCATTCAGATCCACCTAAATTAATCAAATTAATCATAGAAATCATTTACCAAACCATTCATCACTCTTCAAAATCAAGAAAGGTTGTATATACATGTTATAACAATGTAATTACCCTAATAATCATTCTCAAACATAAAAATGCAAGGAAACTGAAATATATGAAGCTGCACTGTTTTTTCACCCATTTGCGTCAAATGGGAACAGTAAAACTGAACGGCAGCTACAACAAATGGCCGGTTCTTTAAGTTACAGCCTCGACTCCAAACCTTTCAGCCGTCCCGAAAATGGTGTGCTAGCAAGTTTCGATTAGAAATGTGCATACCTGAAATCAACACCTGTTCTAAAGTGCATAAAAACCACTCCTGTCCACTCCTGCCCTGGCTTCTTGCATAGCAAGTCTACATAAATCAACTTGTCTGTGAAGAAAAACACAAAAGAAACGAATCAGTCTCCCTTTTTTAGCTAAACAAGCTGCTGAAGTGTGATTGAGTCTCAGTTGGTTGTGAACATGCTGCCCTCTAGTGTGCACTTCCATAAATTACAGGTTGAGTAAGATCACAACATGTCAACATGATTTATGCCACAGCAATGGCCATACAATTAAGAACGACCTAAATAAGAGTGTGCATTAAACAGAAGGCCAAATCGTGAATGTGTTCCACTTGGACTGGCTAGTGCCCAAAAGAAATATTATGAAGTAAGTGATGAAAATGCTGGACTTCATGTCAAAAAAACAAATGCTGGAAAAGCACTGGTTGCACCCTATAAGGGCCTAAAAGCAAGTGTTTCAAGGGTTCAATATAATGTATATTTTCATGATAAAATCTTGCTTTAATCTACATTCAACATCTGAGAAAATATATCTGCATTTGAAGGTGTGAGTGTGTGTGAGTGCGCCTTAAATGATAGAGAGCAAACAAGCCCAAGATAATTGATTTTTATATACAACAAACTCTAAATGTCTCTTCTTACATCTGTCTCACTCTTAAAAATATTTCCCTTTAAGATTTCATTTGATTTAAATTTAAAATCACAACTCCTACATGTGTCAGTATGACTGAAACATGGCTAGAATAAATCAAAATATTAAGACATACTCATGGTGGAAGTTGATTAAAGTAGAGAGAGAGGAATTCATTCTGTTTAAAACATGGCTTACTAAGCTAGAAAGTGATGGGAATGCCCTCTTTTTCTACAGACAATGCATTGCAAGTCCGCTCAACATGTGTCGTTGTGAATACCTATGTTCCTATGCTATTTCAACCTGAATCCACAGAAAGAAGGAACATTAGACATTACCAGTTCAAAGGAGCTGGGAACTAGTTTTATCCAAATGGCAATTGGTCTAATTGAAGGAAATCCAGATTTGTACTACGGTGTCATAGTGTGCTAATTTGCTAACCATGACCATTACAATGTAGAGCACATAATTCACCCAAACAATGCTAACTGCTTGATGGATGGGCCCTTGGACATCAAACAAGAAAGAGCCTCTTTTTCCATCCTACGCGTACTACTGTAGATCTACGATGTCAATTGCGCCTTTCCCTTGACCTCCGCCATCATCACGTGTAGTTGTGCCTGCCATCAAAACTCTGGAAGGCCGACGGCTTGGCCATCTTCCTCAAGGACAGCGTGTCCGTCTTGGCCTCGGGCCTGGCCCCAGACTTGCTCCTCTGGAAGGGGTTCCTGGCAGCCCCTCGGCCCTTGTCCATGCGCTCGCTGATGGAGAAGCTCTTCCGGGCGTAGACGTTCGAATGGGAGTCCTCAGAAGAGGAGCAGCTATTGGCTCGCTCCAGTCTGGAGATTGGAGAGCAAAAGGGACCAAGGGCTAAGCCCAGGCCCAAATCTACCCCCACACTGCTCCCTCCCCCTGCACTGGGACAAGGTTTGCTGGTGTCGGCTGGGCCCTCAGCAGGCTCCTCGGGGTCAGACTCTGCGTGGCTCAGCTCGGCATCCCGCTCTGGATGGGAAGTGCCCAGATCCTGGGGCTTTTCAAAAGTGAAAGAGCCCCCAGGTGAGTCGGATCGCTCTGGTGCTGGGTATGGTGTGGAAACGCAGCGGGTGTCAATGCAGTCCGTGATGCTGGTGTACTCAGCTGCCTTTACCTGCACCCCAATGCCTCCATAGTAGGTGCGTGGTGTGAACATCAGGCTGTGGGACTTCACGAGTGGAGGCTCATCTAGGAACAGGGGCCCTGCCGCAGACAGGAAACGGCTGCTCTTGGAACGTTCCAGGATGCCCGCCGAGGGTGGAGGGGATGGGTCAATGTCCCAGGGGGGAAGGGTGTCTGGCAGCAGGTGGGCGGAGCACAGCGACAGGTCAGCGGCGGCACTGTCCTCAAATAAAACTGTGCCATCGGACTGTCTTTCGCTTGCCCCCGCCCTCCCGCTGTAGTCCCGCCCCCCGGACATCACTACCTCCATGATCTCAGAATGGAGTGAGGATTCTCGTGCGAGTGGTGGAACTGTCCGGATCGGCTCCAGGAAGCTCTCTGTGGGCTGGGCCTCCTCCGACGCAGACACATATATATCTATACAGGATGAAGGCCGATGCTGCTGTTGCACTGACAGAGTGTTCAGAGGAGCAGGCTTGCACTCTTTGGGGGCAGCTCCTGATGCTACAGACTGTGAGCTATTAGCCCGGTGTAGGCTCAAAGAGCGTTCCTTGAAGAAGCCCTCTGCGCGGTCTGGCCCGCACCTGTCCCTGAATGAATGGCCCACATAGAAGGAGTGGCTCCTCGCTCTCGGAGCCAGTGCAGTGGGTGAGGTTGGTGAAATAGACTCCTCCCCACCCTGCTCCAGAGACTCCTGCAGCCGGTAGGCATTCCCCTCTTGGCTGTTGAAGCTGCTCTGCCGGAGGATGTAGTTGGTGTCAGTGCAGTCCGACGATGTCCTGGAGCGAACCTTGTTCACCTCGCCCCTGTCCACACCTGTCACCCTCTCCAGTGCCACGGCCATGCGGCCAATCAGTTCCTCCATCTGGGCCAGCCGGATGTCCACGGTCTGCAGGGAGGCCTTCATGAAGTGCTCCCGCTCGTTCACTTCCTCCAGACGCATGGCCATGTTTTCCACCCTGACAATGAAGTGGACTTTAGAATTTAAAGAAGCCTGAAACTGTACATTTTTTTTTTTTCAAAAAGATGCAAACAGGATTGAATGTGTTGTGTGTGATGGACTCTTTTGACAGTCATTTCCTGACTGGAACTGTAAATGATGCAGGTACTATGGTTGCTTTTAGCTGGTAAATACGGGTATTACAATGGTAAAAACTCTGCAAGACTGATGAAGTAAAATCCTACTGGAGCATAACATGCCTACAAAATTTGAAGTGGATCTAATCCTGCGGTGACACATTCCCCTAATTTTGGATATGGATAAGAGATACAACGTTAGCATGAATGTGTGACTGGAATTTAGTCATTTGTCTGGCAAACTGAATCATTCCCGGACGCTGTGACCGGCACCAAAAAGTCCTAGCGGACACTCATATACGGTTATCTGCACCATCAAGCTCTGACTTTTGTTATTCTGACAATTACTGTTGGTAAGACTACATTTCATGTGTTTGGTCTGAATATAAATCATCTACTTTTTGTGTTTGAGATCTTTGGACCTTTCAGACGTCACTCGGATCCTCTCATCGTTGGAGGAGTTAAAGCGGTCGTCTTTCTCTCGGAAATACTCTTCGATACACTGCTCTTCAAAGTCATGGACTTTTTTCAGCTCGTCTTCTGTGATGAAGAGCTCTGGTGGATCAGAACATGAGGCATCAATTATTTCCTGAACTTATTTTGATCTGTATGGTACTTAGCATATCTCTTATATCCCAGTATTTCTTTTCTCTTTCTCTTGCACAAATTCAGGATGGACAGAACACTGTTCACTACACTGTTAGTCAAGTGTTTCCTGTGCTTGAGCACGCTTGATTCTATTCACAAAGAGCTACATAATTAGATAACAAGCTGATTCAGGCATGTTAAGAAAATTGTCATCACAGATGTAATGAAAGATTGTGCTACTGGTCACTCACTTAATCCAAAGTCTCGTTCATCATCATCGTGCTTCCTCCAGCGACAGCACAGGTGCTTCAGAACCATGGTCATGTGACTGAAGATGATGAGGGGAGGAGGAAGAACGGGGCGCTCGTGGAAGGTCATGATCAGCTGGTACCGCTGAAATTTCCACACCTGGTTAGAGATGGACTTCACTTCGAAGAATGTGTTGCTAAGAGGACAGACAAATTATAATATGCTGAAGTTACAAGCGACTTTGCCACTTAAAAAACTACCCACAAATGTGTCTTTGACTTAAAGGGACGTTCTGGCCATAATGAAACATGTAACCATCTCTACATCTGTTAGAAACATGCTTGTCTTCTACAGTGGTACTGCAGTAGTTCTACAGTGACATTTTCCAGTTTAAAGACTAGGAAACCCACTTCTGATTATGTATCTTCTAGGTGCAAGAAACTTTTCGACAAAAAAAACTAGGGGTACTCCAGGATGCCGAATAATAGCAGCCACATAGCTGTGGTAACTGTCTTAAAATCATCATTATAATACAGAGAGCAGATTACTTGAGTGACAGAAATGACTCAGATGAAGGCAACAAACTAAAAGCTGCAGTTAGCAAAGTAACTACCTGGCAATCTAGATACCTTACATCAGGTATCCAGGGTTAAAGCTGCACTCAGCAAGGTAGATGGGAATCCAGATATCTTAACGCAGTTTGGCTTCTTTTCTCTGACTGAAGAAGTGTCACTGTTTTCCTTACAGTTTTGTTCAACAACAGAAGTAACAGTTACACTAATGCTAGCTTGGTTGTGTTCAGTAGCTTGTAGATTGTAGGCTTAGTTAGGAGTCATAATTGGTTGACACCACAGGGATTACCAATGGTTGTGTGATGTATTCACTTAATGCATAATGAGAGAACGCTGAAGACTAACACATCCGGTCCAACTGATGAGGCTAAGGGGTGCAGTGCTGTGCCACAGACTAACACATAACATGACAAATAACATATTAACATATTAGTTTTAGTCTGAAATGCCCCTGTGGTTCATAAGGATTGGCCTGCAAGTGGTAATCATCAGTGATTATGTGCTTTTTGTTGTCCTGGCCGACATGACAATCCAGTTGTTCCTTTCTAGTTCCAGCAATATATTATATAAATGGTAACCATGACCAAGAAGGATGGTGAGTCATACTTGAAGACAGCGATGAGCAGATTGACCAGAAGGATGTTAGCCACGAGCAGGTAGCAGGCCATGATGGCAGGGACGATCCATGCGCCAGTCTTGCATGGGGGTAGTGGCACAATGGTGCCATCTTCCGTAGTGATGTTCTGTCCACATGGTGCTATAGAGAGACAGCATTAGTTAGCATTAACATGATCTCCACGTGTGGATGAGAGACAAACACTCGAGATGTGCCGAACTTAAAAACCAAACGAAAAAAGAAACCACACAAACAGAAACCACAGCCGAAATGACGTGAAACACTGTCAATCTCTTATCGCTCTCGTTTTTCACTGGCACGTGGCCAACAAAGCTTTCAGAAGAGCGATAAGGAGTGAGAACCCAAATGGCAACTGAGATGAAATATATTTCAAAATATATTTGTCAAATGCAAAATCACACTCTCCAATATATTTAAACATATTTGTCGATGTTTAAAATATATTGACGCTTCAGAGTGTAGCGATCTCATAAAAGATGGCTGGATATTGTGCAAAATGTATTGAAAATACATTGTACGTTTTTTCCATAAGGGATGGTTCAGTTGCTGTGGCTTTCAGGAAAAAGACAGTCACACTCGTGAGCGTTCATGTTTGCGGATCTCCGTTTACTGTTGCGATTCACACTCGGAAGCCCAAAGGTAGAGAACTGAAGTAACTTGAATTTGTGTTCAAATCGTAAATTTTTGCGCTAAAAAATTCAGATCTGTCAAAAAACTCTGACAACTGAACCACATGAAAAAACATTTGCTGATGAGGAGAGGTGACGAATGTGTGGAGGAGTCTGGGGAATTGGTGTTGGCCTTTGTGCCAACACATTATACAAATCTTTGTATTTGTATATGGAAAAAAATACATACAGAGCTTTAAAAAGTAAGCCTTACATTAAGTTTATGTAAGGACCATTGAGCTACGTTTGAGCAATATTGAAACAAGTGCGTATCAATTATGTTTGTCAACCCAGTCTGTTGATGCAAGGCCGGGTGGATGTGAAGTACTCTTAGAATGAATGGTAGTAGTACTGCTCTTGGCAAGCTGCTTCGAAGCTGGCGAACCGTGCAGTGCTACAGTAATCATTCAGCGTGGATGGTGGGTTGGGGATGGGTTCAGCATCATCAGGTTTCCATGACAGAGATCAGACACAAAAATCTGGCGTATCATCTCTTGGTGACGAGTTTTCAGTGTGTAAAAGAGATTCTCTAAAGAGAATCCCCGGCATGGAAACACGCTTCGATTGCCGTGCAGTGCTGTGCACGAGTGTTGTATTCTCCCCGCCCGCTAGGGGGAGATGGTGAAGTGGATGGCATGGCATGGTGAAACTGGAATGGTGTTGGTGAGGGAACTCTTATTGAAAAATTCAATCGATTTATATGTATTTGAAAATTGCCTATATGGGATGGACCACTGTTACGCCCAGTTCCTTGAGCTCGAATGTAATTTTCGACCAGCCAGAGTTTTTCATTCGGCCTGTTCTGTAGCTTCCTACTATTCACATCTGAAACAAAGAACGACAGTGTTATTTCAGCTCTCTTGTCTTTGGGCCATCCACCTCTCAGCAAACATACACACACATATATTCACGCACCCACACACAACTCCCAAATGGTATACAGTTGTGAGAAAAAGTTGAATCCTTTGGAATTATCTGTGATTCTGTAGGAATGACTGAGCTGATCTTCATCTAAGTGGTAATAACAAAGACAGTCTTATTCAACAACTAACACACATATAATTTTGCAGTATCATCTAGCACCCTAACACCCTAAATCTAGCAGATGCACTCTCTGATTACAAAGCCATGCTGTTGTAGCACATGCATAATGTGGCTTGCGGTTGTTATGCTGACATAAGCATGGAAAAAGTGTCCCTGAAAAAGACGTTGTCTAGAAGGCGGCGTATGTTGTACAGTAATGGTGCCTTCATAGATCTGCAAGTTATTAATGTCATATATGCTGATTGTTACCAGATTGTTCTTTCTTCTTTGGCCTGGAGAACTTGAAGTCCATTATTTCCATAAACAATTAAAAGGTTTACTTGTCAGACCACAATACATGTTCCCCTGAACATCAGTCAATTTCTGTTGAGCTCAAGCCCAGAAAAGGGCGTTTTTGATATACAGCTTATACTGTCTTAACTTGCATTTAAGGATGCAACAATGAATAGCATTTACTGATAATGGTTTCACATACTGTCCCAAATTTTTTGGAATTAAGGTTTTTATAATGTACTGTGTGGCTATGATAGGTCCTGGTGGGACCTGGAGGGGCCTGTGCCCCCCACTTAGAACCTAGGCCAGACTGCTGATCACTAAAAAAAGCTCTCCAATGCCAATGAGGATTTAATAAAATATAAGTTCTTGTACCATCATGCCTTTTTCCACCAGAAATACAGAAAAGAGACTGTCAAAGCCTTCTTTAGATTGTCATTTTTTGACAGAATCATAAACACATACAGTATCAACAGCAAATGTCAAACTAAAGTCCTTGAGATCCACAGCCTTGCTAATTACCTGACTAATTACCTGATGAAGGCCTTGCTAATTACCTGACTAATTGAAACAGGTATTTTGGAGCAGGGAAAACTATGCGGTACAGTGGTACTCCAGTAAAAGGACTGGGAACCAGTGTTCTAGAGGTTCACCTCAGGGTAGTAGAATCTTTGTTACTCCTTACATTTAACATTCTTCACCCAAGTCAGTAAGTCCCACTAATCATATCAGCTAGGATTTTCTACATACACTAGTGAGCATTGAGCTTCTGCTCATGCTTAAAAAAATAATCCCACTGGTGGCTTCTGCATGTTTAGTGCACCAGCAACTCTGAGATTGCCAAATGAGAGGGAAGTCTTAAAAAAAGTTCTCCAAAAAAGCTGTTCAGTGTCGATGAGGATATAATAAAATATACACTATGTGTGGAAAAGTATCCAGACGTTCCTTCTCATTAGTGAATTCAGTTACTTTAATGTGCACCAGTTGTTGACACAGGTATTTAATTTCACTTGGACAGCTTCTACAGTCTCCATAGAAAAGTTTTGCCAACAGAATGGGACACTCTGGAGCAGCTACACATAAGCCTAAGGTTACCATGCCCACTGCCAAGCATTGGCACGAGGGGTATAAAGCCCCCCAGCACTGGACTGTGGAGCGGTGGATTTGCGTTCTCTGGAGTGATAAAGCTCCAGCCAATATGTTTGGGATAAGTTAAAGCGGCATTTCTGATCCAGAACTAATCATCCAAAAGTAGTACCTGACCTCAATAATGCTCTTGCAGCTGAACGCAATCAAATCCTCACAGCAATGTTCCAACATCTAGTGTAAAGAGTAGATGCAATAAAGAGTAGATGCTGTTACTGTAGCAAAAGGGGGAACAAACTCCCTATTAATAGCCTTGATTTCAGAAGAAATACTGCATGAGCAGGTGTCTGCAAACTTTTGGACATACAGTGTTAGTTCTTGCATCATCATGCCGGTTGGTCTTATACAATGAAACGGCTGCTGTGTGGTGCTGCTGCTAGAAATTCTCACTTTCGGAAACTTGAGGTCAGCTAATGTTACCAGCTATCCAAATAACAACAGCCTAATAGTTAACAATGTGGCTTATTGGTCAAGTTGCCATTAGCTAATAACTTACAAGTGACCAAGTGATTCATAAGTTGGATTAGCTTAAGCTATATGAGGTTATAGGTCAAAATAACATTATAAAGTTTTAGCTTTTGAGGTAGCAAAGGATTTGTAGGGCTTTCACGTGACTAACGTTTGTAGACTACTATCCATCTGAGATGCTACTGTGAAGGTTTTGAAGTGAAGCCCTTGCTGGTTTATTTAATGTCCTGTTGAATATATAACTTTAGTGTTTAACTTTTGATATGTGTGTCCAAATGCATCCAGATGGCCTTTTTAATTAGCGAATTTAACCACTTTTAAGTGCACTCATTACTGACACAGGTGTTCAATTGCGCACACCTACCTTGTATAATCGCCATGTATAAACATTGCTAATAGAGCAGGATGCTCTGGAGCAGCCACACATGAGCCTAAGGTCACCATGTCCAACCCAAGTACCGGCTAGTGGAGGATAAAGCCCCTCCAGCATTGGTCTGTGGGGCATCAGTACCTGACCTTACTAATTCTCTTGAGGCTGAATGCGATCACATCCTTGCAGCAATGATCCAGCATCTAGAGTGAAGCCTTCCCCAATGGGTAGAGACTGTTACTACAGCAAAGAGGGACAAACACCCTGTTAATACCATTGATTTCAGAAGAAACCTATGATGAGCAGCTGTTTTGGACTTAGAGTATATATACTTTTGATGTTTAATCATAACATTTGGCCAAAATGAAAAAATGTATTCACTATATCTTTTGCTAATATGCCTTCTACCGTCCCGCAGTGGTGCCACTGTAGTCTCTAGAGTGGGATTGTCTGATTTAAAGACTAGGAAACCCCCCTTCTGATGAAGTGTCTGTCAACCACTTGTTCAGTGAAGATATGGTGTTGTTTGTTAAACAAGACTGTTTATATCAGCATAACGTAGAGAAAGACCAGATTACATTTTCGGCCTCATTCATATAGAAATCCAGACAATTCCAAAGAGGGCACAGTTTTCTCACAACTGTATATACACAGACACATGCATTAAAACTCAAGCATACTATAGGCCTAATATGAATTCCACATTCAACTCCATATCACCAGGATCTAAACATACATATAGGTGTACAACAGTGTGGTCTGACAGTTAGTGGGGGGTATATGTTTTTTTTATAGTTCTGCGAGAGGTCGCACTGCAATTTTAGGTTCTTGAAACAGTGTGGTGGTGATATACAGTGTGAAATATATGATACATTGCAAAAAAAAAAAAGAAATGAATTTGCTTTTCTTGAAAGGGAGAATGGTTTATAGATCATCTGGAGCATTTATCCTTGCATTAGTCTCCATTTCATCAAATTTGGCCTATTTCTCAGTTGGGAGAAACCTATGATGGTGTATGCGAACTTACAAAAGGTCTATAGGTCCCCTGAATGGCACAACTGTCTAAACATTGGCCCTATCGTAAGGAGATCACGAGTTCAGCCCTGGCAGTGAAGCAACTGGGTGTCTTTTTTGTCCATCAGCATAACCACTGACACTACTGTACTGTGCACTCTTCATTTATTTAATGCCCATTTAAAGCAGCCATTAAGTACATACATATACATACATACATACATACATCATCTAAACCACTTATCCTTCTGGGTCGCGGTGGGGTGCTGGAGCCTATCCCAGCTGTCATTGGGCGGAAGGCAGGATACACCCTGGACAGGTCGCCAGTCCATCGCAGAGCAGACAGACATACATACCCACACATTCATACCTAGGGGCAATTTAGCATGTCCAATTGGTCTGACTGCATGTCTTTGGACTGTGGGAGGAAACCGGAGTACCCGGAGGAAACCCATTAAGTACAAGTTATTCATTTTTCAGGAGATATTTCTGAGGAGATTAGATATAAGATCATCCCCTTGCATAAGGAAAGAGAAAGCCAATGGAAAATGTAACAAAACAGGAGAAAATGGGATTCCTAAGACCTGAGCAAGACCTGGTAGACCACCAAAACTGCCCCCATCAGATAAACAGCATTTAAAGCTTTCATATTTGAGAGAAAGGAGAAAATCAAGCTCCACTCTTGCTTCAGATCTGAAAACATGCTTAGCCATCCTTCCACTGTGAGAAGACAACATAAGTGCTATGGGTCTGAAAGGGTGTGTAGCTGTAGCTGAGAAAAGAAAATAGATTGAAAAAGAAAAAGACAATGGACTGACCACCCCAGAGTCCAGCTCTCAAAAAGAACTGAATGTGTGTGTGTTATTACTTGGATCATGAGAAGCAGAAAGTGCAACCAACTTCTACGGCTGAACTTTGGAGGTGTGGAAAAATATCCCTGCAGATTTTTTTCGAAAAACTGGAAAGCAGCTTTCATGAAAAAAATAGAAGCTTTAATGAAGCCAAAGAGTGGACACACTAGAAAAATTAGATTTAGTTGATCTGTGTAATTTGTTTTCTGCTGGAAAAATGAATAACTCATAATTAGTGGTCTTTGTAACTGGAAATAAAAGGTGTGACTTTTGCAAAGTGCTGAAGATAAATAAATACCTGCAAAGCTATTACACAGCTGTTCACTAATATTTTAGGCATCTGTGGCAACACTCCACTCCATAACCTGTTCCAAACTGTTGTTAAAAGCATATGATGTGAGCTGATGTCAAAGACATAAAATGCTGAGGATTTGGCAGTATTCACAAGCTAAGTATCCCCAAACATTTGATGGCCAGAGTTTGAATTAGGTTTTAAAGCAGGGTGCGGAGATCCAACTCTGGAGGGCCGGAGTCCAGCACAGTTTGGTGATCTTCCTTCTCAAGGACCCATGGTTTCACCCATTAATTGCCAGGTTTAGTTGGTAGAGCAAATCAGCAAAATGTGCTGGACCCCGGCCCTCAGTTCCCCATCCCTGCTTTAGCTTTAATCAAGTTACTGCAGCTTGAAGGCCAATTAATGGAACCACACAGTCAGCACAGTTCTTTTCCTATGCAGTTCTTTTCCTATAACTCAGAGTTAACATTGGTGTCATGGTTATGACACTTCTTGATCAGGTCTTCAAGTTCAAGTAATATTCTTCCAACTTCCTTCCAAGGACAAAGTTCTCCAGTTCTTCTGGCCTTCACATACGAGGGGCCTCTCCATTTCATATGGCGATCTTCAGTGTTAACCATTAATATTTCAAACAGCCCGAATGATCAGTTTGTTTCTTCACCCTGGTCGTTCTGAATCACCCTCCAAAGCATGATGTTGAGAAACACATGAAGTAAATCAGGGCTGAAAGAAAAATATTCTACCATGAGTCACATCGACACATTGTTTTTCCTGAATGGAACTTCACCTCAAACCTCAAATGAGAATCAATTCTCTGGTCCACATACATACCCAGTCCCAAGCACTCTAAATGTCCATAGTCATAGTTTCTCACACAAATGCACAAAAACATCTCTGCTGTTTGAAATATATTTGTCTTACTGTGTGTTTATTTATCACTGCGTCCCAGAAACCCTTTAAACATTTGACTGACTCACATGATTCTGAGAAGAAACCTTTTTTTCCATGAGCAGAGGGTTAAGGAATGAAACCCTAAGCTCATGTTGATAGCGCACACGGTCCCATTAGCGTAAAGTCATTCAACTCTCTCACAACAGCTTACGTCAGAACGGAAAACTGTGAGTTGCTGGTAAACTAACAAATGCCAAAGTCCACAAGCTTCACACAGAGAAACCTGATGCTTTAAAGGTACAGTGTGCTATATTAATGTTTTTTTACTACTACAGTAAAAATGATGAAAATATGAATATCCATAATTAAATTATAACAACACTTATATGCCAAATAAAGTTCCATTGATATTCCTTAATATTAAGAAGGAAGTTCCAATACATTTTTTTGCTAGCTTCCCAGTGCACCACTCAACTGACCTCCGCCGATGACCCAGTGCCCGTTGTCTGCTGTGCTGACCCATGACCTGCTGTCTCTGGTGCTGACCCAGTGCTTGCTGTCTCCACCACTGAACACGTCATTAATCTGGGCCCTGCTACAATTCTAGGCTCCATCCCTGTCCCTCACCCTGAACCAGGATCTTGCCCTGACCCGGGCCCTGTCCCTGGCCCGCGCCCTGACCCGGGCTCTGTTCCTGGGCCACAACCTGACCCGGGCTCTGTCCCTGGCCCACGTCCTGACTTGGGCTCTGTCCCTGGCTCTCGTCTTGAGCCGGGCTCCATACCTGGCACTCGTTTTGACCCAGGCTCCATCCCTGGCCCTCTCCCTGACCCAGGCTCCGTCCTGTCTTGCTTACATTCTAGATCACTTTGTTGGCCAGCATCCCGCTCTGGATGTACTGCCTTTCTTGACTGTGTCTCATCATGTTCTGACTCTTGCTCCAGATTGCAATTTTGGATTTGCCTGGACTGTACCTGCCTGTCTATGTACTGACCCTTGCCAGTGATGACCTTGAGTGTTATGTTGTCCCAAATAAAGCTGCTTTAGTTCTAATAAATTCTAATAGAAGCTTAATGCTAGATAAAGATAAAATGAATAGCCAGAATGACTCACATTTCAAAAGTGTAAGGCTTGGCAAGAAATGATTGTACTTAGACAATTATAGTATATTATTTATCACTTAACAACATCTTCTGGTTTTCAAACTGCCTGAAATATTGAAAAATACAATAAACATTATACATATTTGGTGTCTACGCTACATACTGTAAGTTATTATTGTGTACAAAATAACAAAAATGATAAAAAAGACTGGCTATTCTAAACTTCTGAGCGGTAGTGCATCCTTATATGGCTTAATTATAGATCAGAACCATTTCCTGAATTCTAAATCTTTCAATACGCAACAAAAATGTTGGATTACAATATCTATGGGAACCCGAGTGGTCCAAAAAAGAATTTATTCCAGAAATAAACATGGCTGTAGTTTCAAAATAGCACATGCGTCCAAACCAGGCTTACTGGGCAGCTCTCTTTTCTACTACAACAAATAAAATAGGTTAGACGGTCAGCTTACGGTCAATCTGGTCAGCAAAGACTTCGCCATAGATCATCCAATAGGGCATGAAGAAGATGTTGCGTGCCAACATCCAGGAGGGGTCCTCGTTAGGGTTCAGGATGGCCTGACGTGCCACCCCAAAACTCATGAGCACCACCAACATGATGATCACAAAGTACATCATGTCAATCATCTGCAGAGAGGGAGAGAAACACCGCTAAAGCTCAAGTAGTTTGATAAATGTCTTAATTTTAAATGGTGCTGCTAACTGGGAGAGAGGAGCTGCTGAGCATTAGTTAAGCTAGCATGCTAACAGCTCTGTTCACCACAGAACAGATTAAATTCTGGCTGACTGAAGCTTCACTGATGCAAGTTTAGATGATAATGACTCACATCTGAGGGAGCAAAGTTGAGTGACTGGTGAAATCAAACTTGTTACTACTGGCTGAAGTAATGCTAGCAAAGTAATGCTAGCTAAGCTCGCAGGCTACAGATCCAAGTTTATTATTATTATTATTATTATTATTATTTAATACAGATTATTCACAAAGGATTGTTCATGAACTGTTATGAATTATTCAGAAACTATTATGATTTTTTTCAGTATCAACTATGAATTATTCAGCAAACACTAAATTACTCAGCAAATACTATTAGTTTTTCAGTACATATTATTGATTGTTCAATTCAGATCTACTACTAAATATTCAGTAACTACTATGATTTATTCAGTAACCACTATGTATAATTTAGCAACTACTATGAATTATTCAGTATCTACTAAGAATTATTCAGTAACTACTGTGGATTATTCAGTATCTACTATGAATTATTCAGTAACTACTATGATTTATTCAGTAACCACTATGAATCATTTAGCAACTACTATGAATTATTCAGTATCTACTAAGAATTATTCAGTAACTACTGTGGATTATTCAGTATCTACTATGAATTATTCAGTAACTACTGTGAATTATTCAGTATCTACTATGAATTAGTCAGTAACCACTGTAAATTATTCAGAAACTACTATGAATTCTTCAGTAACTACTATGAATTATTCAGTAACTACTGTGAATTAAACAGTACTTACTATGAATTAAACAGCAACTACTATGAATTATTCAATAACTATGGATTATTCAGTAACTACTGTGAATTATTCAGCAACTGCTAAGAGTAATGCTACTAACTTTTTAGAAACTAGTATGAATTATTCAGAAACTAATACACAAGTTAAGTAGTTTGAGTGTGAGGAATTGAAGTGAAAGCTCACATACGAACCTTTTTAAAGGGGTCTTCATTATAATTAATTAATATTTCATAATAAATGTAATTCTAATTGAACTATAGATCATAAATGAGCAATAATAATAAAATATATAGTTTTATTTAAACTCTGCAGTTAATCTGTGATTGTTAGAATAATAAACAAACAGCTGTGAAACAACACATCTAGAATTATGTAGGAATAGAAGATAGAAAACAGTAGAACATCTTGTATTTAAGGTTCTTCTCCTTTAGATTCCCCTCTGTTCTGAGGCAAACTACTGATGGACTGACAGTGTAGAAGCCCTCACCATCTTGCCAATCATCATGACGTAGGGGCCCAGGTATTTATTCACTCCGAAGATGTCGAGCAGGCGGATGTACCAGTAGATGATGTTGACGCAGTAGATGACCCGCCCGTAGCTCATGAGTGGCGGGTCCTGGAGGCGGAGCACCATGCCGATGGAGAAGATGAGGATGGCCATGAGGTCAGTGATGTTCCAGTATTCCTGCAGCCACACCTTCACTTTCTGCAGCAGCTTCCCCGGCTCGGACATCAGGATCTGAGACAGACAGACATATTAAACCACAAAACGTTTCCTTATCTATCTTTATCAGCTCTGTTAAAACAGACGTCTACAATTACAGACTACAGAAGTGGTGCAATCACAAATGGATACAACTGGATATACACGGCTGTTCCGCTGTGATATGAATAATATTTCCTATTTTATATAGAATTATAACTTCTGTGTAGATGTAAGTATTATATATTAGACACCAAAACATATTTTACGTAATATTTCAAGTTTTTATTAAATTATAAATACTAGACTGTTAAGATCTATTTACAGTAAGTTTGGTCAAGTTATCTGCCTTGAGATATGATCTTTATTTGCTATACCTCCTATCTGGATACCTTTTTAAAAAACTTTATTCTAGATATTCTAGATAGTTTATTATTATTTAATTCTAGATATGAATGTTATTAGATCTTCATTCTGGATATTAAGTTTGTTATAATTTAATTCTAAATATCAATTTTATTAGACATTCATTCTGGATATTAAGTTTATTATCATTTAATTCTAGATATTAGTTTTATTAAACCTTAATTCCAGATAATAAGTTTATTATCATTTAATTCTAGACATTAATTTTACTAAACCTTCATTCAGGATATTAGGTTTATTATAATTTTCTTCTAGATATCAATTTTATTAAACCTTCATTCTGGACATTAAGTTTATTATGATTTAATTGTAGTTACTGATTTTATTAGAACTTCATTCTGGATATTAAGTTTATTATTATTTAGTTCTAGATATTAATTTAATTAATCTTCATTATGGATATTAAGTTGATTTTTATTTTTTTCTAGATATTAAGTTTATAAGATCTTCATTCTGGATATTCAGTTGATTATTATTTAATTCTAGATATTATTTTAGTAGATCTTTATTCTGGATATTAATTTTATTACATCTTCATTCTGGATATTAAGTTTATTATGATTTGATTCTGGATATCAATTTTATTAAACCTTCATTCTGGACATTAAGTTTATTATAATTTAATTTTAGATATTAATTTTATTAGACTTTTAATTCTGGTTATTTAATACATTTTTTATTTATGATTGACATTAATGTTATTATGATGTCATTATGGACATTAATTTTATTGGATATATATATATATAGGCTCCAAAAAGCACTTCATGTTCACGTCCACTAGGGGGCAGTATAAGCCTACTATTCCAGTATTATTCTTGTGATTCCTGGAAAGGTAACCTGTGCGCTCTTAAACAGCACCGCATGGAGTATCCACTATAGAGATTTAGCAATATGAAAAACGCTGGCGTAGCACATCTCAGCTGAATGTCACTTTCAGTATTGAAATAACCGGCGCAGCAGCAGACAACATACTACAGTGACTACAATCTGAATATTACTCTCTTACGACAAAACCTCACTACAGCGTTTTCCTCAAGACCCTAAAGACCCTCAGGGACAGCAGAGGGGGGAATAACGAAAAGGAGTTTAGGTGAAGGAGGTCCTCAGTTCTGAAGGCCTCACATCTGAGGTCAGTATAAATTCTGTTGTGTCAGGTTGAGTCGCAGCAGCTCTTCTTCCCTCATCTCTCCCAATCTGTCCTGTCCTATTTAAGACCCCAGCCGGGATGGCGCGAGTACCAACATCTTTTTGAGCTTTTGCCATAGACATCAAGTTTCTGATGATTGTTCTTTTTTGACCTCTGGAAGCGAGGTCATCTTGGGATCATGGTTTCCAAAGAAGAGGTGGCTTGAGCTTTTAGATCTATTTCTTTTATTTGGAGCAGGCTGTTGTTGATAGTTTCCTGATTTTGTGTGAAAATGTTCTGATCTGAACTTGAAGGGGTTGCCAACTTTCTTTAATCTGTTTATATCTTGAGCTACAGGATCCTTTAACTACATTAGAAGATGGTAACGTCAAGTAATCCTTTGAAATCGTCAGACTTAGAGAAAAGTTTTCAATCAGTTGCTACTTTCCACAGCTCTGCTCCACTAGTGGTGTGAAGTTTGATTCATTTTACCGAACCAGTTCTGTCAAAATGTTTCAAAGAATTGAAAGTCTGATTATTCAGTTCTATCAATCTTATTCTCTATGAACACAGGGCTACGTGAAGGTGTAAATCAAAGAAAATCTACCAAAATACACATAAAAACAGAGTTTATGCTGTGAAATTTAAACACACTCTCTTTGTCTTGTCTGTGTTTACAGTTGTGTGCTCCACAGTCAGATTACATGTTTCGCTGAATTTCTAAGTGAGAATAAGTGAACACATCCTCTACAGAGAACACACTTGTGTACATTTTAATACACAATTACTGTTTATTTTCTGAAAATATTGGAAAAATAGTTTTATGCTGCATGTTTCCTGGTATGTTTCACAGAAGTAATGCCATGTTTATGTGTGCTCTCTAAGGAGGACGTGTTGACATGTTTTCATTTAGAAAGTCAACAAAACATCCCTCCTGAAAAATCTATCCTGGTTTATGCTGGTCGTCCAAAACACAACATATCACTGCTTTTGGAGCTCTTATCTCCAAAATGGTAACTTTACAGGAGCAGGAAAAAAACCTACTTTACTTCTAATGTATGTCAATGTAACCAGATTTTTTTCCAAGTAATTCTGAGCCATTTCTTTTGGCCCATTCATCTTGAAATTGACACACAATGTAAAGGGCAGTAGGTATTTTCAAATTATGTCAAAAACTAAAAAATGATAAAAATGGATTCACAAACTGCTCTTAGGAAGAAATTTGTTCTTAAACCCCATTTATGCAGTTTTCGCAAAGATTCTGACACTCACAAATGTTTTCTTATTTGGGATTTGTTCTTAGGTAAGAACAGAATCTACACACACTCGAGAGCACAAAGGTGTGAACAGTTCTGTGGTTTAAGAACACATCATGAATCTGACGTAGACTTTATCTTAGGGCCTTTCTCAAGAACAAATTTAACCCTCTATTGCACGATGTTTCCTTAGGGCAACAAACATTTTCCTCACGTTACAATAGCATTATACATATTTTAGGACACTGACAGGGTTAACAATAAAGGGCAGAGTTTAAGTAAGTCAGCAAAACAGCATGTTCTTAGTCATACTATCTCTTAGTGGGCACTTTCAAACCTATTTTTAACATTCAGTATCATTTTTCAGTTATGTGAATTTGCAGAAATATGTTTGTTGCCTAGAAGCAACATTGTGCAACAGTGGAATGGATTTAGCCAGTCACAAGCCAGGTCTCACCACTTCCGGGAACACGGATCTATATCATTTCGTCCCATTGTCGCACAATGTTGCCTCAAGGCAACATATTCCAAAAGCACCCCTGCGCACATTATTGTTTAAAAAATTATTTGAATTCAATAATCAGGTCAATTTTGTGCAAGAAAAGTGAATCAAATATATATTTTAAATTGCTCTCATAATGCATGCAGTAGAGGGTTAAGAAAAAACTTAGGAAGATACTGGTGAATGAGGCCCATTGAGATTTGTGGGTTCTGACTCTGTACAACATACTGTGAAAAAGAACAAAAGTATGTTAGCATGGCTAAACACAGTACTAGCAACCACCTGGAATCCTGAATTTTGCCTGTAATTTTGACTGTCTGAGATTCCTTGCCAACATGGTTTGAAACAAGCCAGTGTTCAAGCTGCTTGACTACATTTTAGAAAAGATGATCCTATAAATTTGGTTTGTTGTTAAACTATCACTTGAATGTATGTGCTTGTGAAGGCTAGTTAAGGTGTAGGAAAAGCCTGTATGGAATTTGTTTGAAAAAGGTTTTGGCATTGAGCTGTAAAGGGGTAAGCTGATACATGATTGAGGTGAAAACAGTCTATAAAGTGTAATTTTAACTGTCTAGCTTTGCATCATGTTCATGTGGGTGGGAATCGATACACAAAGCTGACTGGGGCACTGCTAATAGAGACAGAAGGGACTAAGAAAGAGAAAATGCTCATCTGTCTTTGACCTCACCTCCCTCATCTTCTCTATACCATTGGTGAAAATGTAAGCGATTACGATCCACTCCTGAGGAGAAGGCCACAGGTCCATCTTCACCAGCACAATGTAGTTAAACAGCATCAGGTAGCCCACGTAGGCCATCTATGAACAAGAACAGTTTGGAATTAAGGGTGAGTGATATAACTAATATATAACATTTTCACATTACTCAAAATGTATTATGATATTTTCTTTTATGAGGTTTGCACAAAATTAAGAATAGACTAATTTTATCCGAAAAACAGTTTAAAGCCACATAACAAGAGAACATAATTGTCTTTGCTCTCTCTGGGTGGGTAGGATGACCCTCCCCTCCTACAATCATCCAGCATGATGCTAGCCAGTGTGGGTGTCTGTTAGCTGACGAAACATAATCGGCAGTTAGTGTTCTCCTCCAAGCGTGTTGAGCAGTCTAATGACATTATGCTACCAGCAATGGGAAAAGATGCTAGTGTGTGCTAGCCTTCACCCACCTAGCTTGGTAGCATTGTGTGATGGGAGGAGACCAAGCAAGTGGGTGGAGCCATGACTAAATTAAGCAAAATAAATAAATAAATGAATATAAAATGATAGACTACAAAAGTATGACCACACCTTACCATCACACCTTTATGAGTATGTTGGACATTCCACTTCAAAACCCTGAAAAATAGCCTCAGCCCATTATCCCTCCTCCACCAAACTTTACTGTTGGCACTATGCATTTTTTGGTAGTGTTTTCCTGGCATCCACCAAACCCAGATTCATCCATCAGACTGCCAGATAGTAAAGTGTGATTCATCACTCCAGAGAATGTTTCCACTGCTCCAGAGTCTGGCAATGGAAGTGTGCTTTACACTCCTCCAGTCGACGCTTGGCATTGCGCGTAGTGATCTTAGGCTTGTGTGCAGCTGCTCAGCCACCGAAACCCATTTCATGAAACTCCTGATGCAATGCTTTTGTGTCGATGTTGCTTCCAGAAGCAGTTTGGAACTATGTAGTGAGTGATGGAACAAAGGATAAGCGATTTGAACATGCTATATGCTTCAGCACTTGGTGGTCCCACTCTGTGAGTTTGCACGGTCTACTGCTTCGTGGCTGAGCTGTTGTTGCTCCTAGATGCTTCCATGGTAAAATAATAGCACTTACTGTTGACCGGGGCAGCTCCAGCAGGGCAGACATTTCTCAAACTGACTTGAGGCAAAGGTGGCATCCTATAATAGTGCCACTTTTAAGCACCTATAAGCACCATTCTAGTGCCAGTGTTTGTCTATGGAGATTGCATGGCTATGTGCTTAATTTTATACACCTGTTAGCAATGAGTGTGGCTGGAACACCAGTGATTAAACCTTAACAGTGCTAACTTAGGCTAAAGAGGCTAAAGACAATACTTTCTTAACATTAATATAAGGTAATGTAAGACTTGGATATACTTTTCAGGAGGCATTTGAATCCTAGAGGCACATTCAAGTTTCACTTCTAAGCTGCCTTATGGCTTCAGGCAAAGCATACAACACCTCCAGGCAATAGGGTGTATTTACGCAGCCCCTGGGCAAACCACGGTACTTACAACATGTATTTACACTGCATAAGATTCAGATGGAGAAAAATGTATAAAGCTGGGCTTTCGCACATATTTTATGGGATCATATCTGTTGTATTAATGTCATCTGTGTTTTTTTATTGCTAAGCATGGCTTAGATATTGCAGGTCCAGTAAGCCAGGCTCAGATGCTATGACTAGTTTTTGGCTTCCAGCAGTTCAGACCACCTATTATACATTTTAAATAGACTTGCTTATGTGGTTTCTGACACTATATGACATACTGTTATCTACTAACATGGATAAAAGTATGTTAGCATAGCTAAAAGCAATTCAGGCCTGATTGCTGCTACTACTGTTTTTAGCTATGCTAGCATCATTCTTTCCGTGTCTATAGACAGCAGAATGTCATACAGTGTCAGAAACCACATAAGCAAGTCTGATCAGCATGCATGTCATGCGAATCTAAACTTGTCTATGCTGGTTTATGCTGGTCTAGTGATGGTTTAGCTGGTCACCAGAATGGTCTTGCTGGTTGACCAGCATACCAGCATCCAAAACACAACATATGGCTGCTTTGGTGACAAAACCTCATATCCCCATTTTTGATGTTTTTCAGTTTTTGACATAATTTGAAAATACCCATTGGCCTTTACATTGTTTATAAATTTCACGATGAACGAACCAAAAGAAATGGCCAAAAATGACTTAGAAAAAAGTCTGGTTCCTTTGACTTACATTGAAAGCAAAGAAGGTTTTTCCCTTCTCCTGTAAAGTTACCATTTCGGAGATACAAGGTTTTGTTCCGACAACAGCGATATGCTGGTGTTGCTGCAGACCAGATATACTGGTTTATGCTGGTTTTCTAGCAGGGTAGTAGCTCCAGCACTAAAACTAAACAAGCAAACTTCACACACCAAACAAGTCTTCGCTAATCGACTACATTTGAGGTGGAAAACTGTAACAATGAGACTTTCTGCCAAACTAGTCTTTTAGTTATGTAATCACATTCTCAGAACTAGTATTGATCTAGGATTAGGCCTTGTCCTTCATATCTTTATGAATGCAATCATGAATGGCATGAAGTTGATCCTATTTCTCACACTTTTACTCTGAAAAGTATAATTGAAAAGCGTAATTTAATCCCACATTGAGCCTAATCTGGGTTAGGGAAACCGCAAAGCTCTATGAGAGCTCTAACATCTGCTTCAAATCATCTGATGGGAAACTCCACCACTCTGTCAAACCCACTGACAGAACATGGTCTTGCTACCTGAGAAGAGCCTTCTTTCTCCTTCAGACACACATACAGACTGAAACCTGTCAAACATCCTCCTGTGTGAGATGCCTGACATCAGAACAGTGATATTTTCTCCATTCTACTCTGCAGGATTTGGAGGCTTGACTGAAAAAGTATGGTGGGAAACTGAAATGGAGCATTTTCTTTTACTTCACTTAATTGTGCATCTTTTTAGCAACCTGCGTTATCTTCTCACTGAATTAGGCAGAAGTATCAATATATCTTGATGTTTCCAGTATTTTCAATATTTTATGCATTATAAAGTAATTTTAACATATTTGCTTCAATTCCTTTTACAGCAGCCATGAAATGGAAATTCCTGCCTGTTTTGGAGGTCCCTCAATTGAACTATGCATTTTTTTTTCTTCAACAATGTTGATAGAATGTACACTTCATGGCCTAATGTCTTTGGTCAAGTGACCTAGGAACTTGTTGGACTTTTCATTCGAAAACCACAGGCATTAATATGGAGTTGCCCCCCCTTTGTGGCTATAACAGGCAAAAAAATAGTGAGATCAGGCACTGATGTTGGACAAGAACACCTGGCTCACAATCGACATTCCAATTCATCCCAAACGTTTTCGATATGTTTGAGGTCAGGGCTCAGTGCAGCCCACTGGAGTTCCTCCACACCAAACTCATCAAACAATGTCTTTATGGAACTCACTTCTGTATTTGGGCCTTCCCCAAACTGCTGTCACAAAGTTGAAGAATATAATTGTCTAAAATGACTGTGTATGCTGAAGCATTAACATTACCCTTCACAAACCTCTAGGGCCCAAACCATGAAAAACAGCCCCAGCCCATTATCCCTCCTCCACCAAACTTTACTGTTGGCACTATGCATTCTAGTAGGCGGCGTTCTCCATCAGACTGTGATAAGTGTGATTCATCACTCCAGAGAACACGTTCCCACTGCTCCAGAGTCCAGTGGTGGCATGCTTTACACTCATCCAGCCGACACTTGGAATTGCGCATAGTGATCTTAGGCTTGTGTGTAGCTGCTGCCATGGAAACCCATTTCATGGAGCTCCTAGTTCTTGTGTCAGTGTTGCTTCCAGAGGCAGTCTGGTACTATGTAGTGAGTAATGCAACAGAGGATAGGCAATTTTTACATGCTACGTGCTTCACCACGCTTTGTGTGGTCTACCACTTTGTGGCTGAGCAGTTGTTGCTCCTAGACGCTTCCTTTTTAAAGTAATAGCACTTACAGTTGACGAGGGCAGATCTAGCAAGGCAAAAATTTCACAAACTGGCTTCAAACGTGGCATCTTGTGACAGTTAAAGTCACTGAGCTCTTCAGTACGACCCATTCTACTTCCAGTGTTTGTCTAGCTAGGTTGCATGGTTATGTGCTTGACTTTATACACCTGCTGGCCATGGGTGTGGCTGAAACACCTAAACTCAATATGTAGGAGGGATGTCTACATACTTCTGGCCATATAGTGTATTATAAAGGTTGCTGAGACAGACGCTCAGCTGTGCAATGCAGCTTATATAATCCCAATAGAGAAGCAATAACTAATAGGGGGAGATGCTCTGGAGCAGACGCACATGAGCCTAAGGTCATTATGCCTTAATGACAAGCCTCCCAGAATGGGCTGAGAAGCAGTGAAGCTGCATTCTCTGGAGTGATGGAGCTCTATCCATTACTGTTGGGATGAGTTGAAGTGATCCAGAACTAATCATCCAACATCAGTACCTGACCTCACTAATGCTTTACAGATTCACCAATTCATACTGAAGAACTCACAATCATTTCCCAATTTTATTAGCACATTAACCGGTATTGGGCTAAAAAGGAAAATCAGTCGCATCACCTATTCCAAAAGGACAGTAGCTACATTCCTACAGTCCTTTTCTCCTCACGCAACACGTTTTTCTTCGTGAGAAGGCCGATGTGGGCGCTAACAAAACTGCATTAGTGTGTGTCGTGACCACAGCGGGCCTGTGTGCGGTGGTAATGAGGGAGTGCAGAGGAAGAGACAGAAAGCAAGCAAATATATTTGTTTTTTAGCAGCTTTGCACCGTGTGGCCGTGGTGAGGTTTTTAAAAAACAGAACTAGAAGAATTAACAACTGACACCTCCCTGTGGTGTTTACTCTCATAATATTGATCCTTGAGATTGATTCCTTGCGTTCTCCGAATGCCAGATGATAATGCAGACCAGCTAGATGCCGCTTATATTGGGTTCTGCTTACATATCTTAGACAGTATGATTGCAAGGGAAAAGCATTGTGTGATGGGCAACTTTAGTATACAGAAACCAACAGAGTACGACAATCCACTGATGAATTCATGGATCAGTGAAACGTTTCTTTATTAGAAACCCCTCTGTTGTAGTTCCACCTTGCTGGTGTACAGTTAGAGAGTGTATGCTGTGTCCTCTCGCCCATGTGTGCCTAAACTTTTTGCCATGCAGTGTTTGTGGTGGGCCAAGGGCTAAAAAGCATTCAAATGAGAGAGGTAGGTAGGTTTCAAATCAATTTGCGAAAGCATTATACTGTATTTTGTTGTGAGGTTATACAGTTGTCATGCAAACGTTTGGGCACCACTGGTCACTTTATATGTTTTGTTTCTAAGTGAAAATAAGTTGAAACATCCTCTACAGAGGCCTTATGAGGTCTGGCAACAAAAAAAAACATGTTTAATTTTTAGTCCAAGCTTTTATATTCAAACTCTCCAATTATGGGTAGTAACACTCTTATTGGACTGGAGGTCTCACACTTTCACTTAAGTACAAACATAGTAAGGAAGTGACAGAGAATTCAACCATCAACTGATTTGATTTGCAATGGGACCAATTCCTTGAGAAAAACGCTACTCTGAGACTGGAAGTTCTAGATACATTGCTGACTGTGAAGGTGAGCTGTAGCCTAACCATGTTTCAGTGAGTTGTTAGAAATGGACAACTGTGGCAGCTCTATGCCAGGCCTTCAGTCCAACTCTTGAAGGCCTAAACAATGGGAGAGCTCGCTTGGCTGTATCTACGTAGATACCACAGAGAAAAAAAACATGGTTGGGTAATTTTCCATTGGAAATTTCAAGATTTTAACCCTCCGTAAAAAAATGTCCATAGAAAAGCACTGACCAACTGAAATAAATGAACGAAAAATTACAGACATGTATTTTTTTTGTTCATTAAGCCTCTCTAGAAGATGTTTGAACTTATTTTCACTTAGCAAAACAACAACATACATTGTAAAACATATAATTTGAACAGGCGGGCAAACTTTTGCATACCTGTCACACAATAAAATATATGTTAATGTCCCATACAAGCTTCAAATAAAACATGTCATGCTAACATACTACTAGTATCCCAAAATTAGCATCGAGTGTGTTTACATGCACTCAATAATCTGATCATAATTGAATTTCTGCAGTTATCTGATCATTCAAATAGACATGTAAACAGCATAGTCCAATTTCTTAAATTGGACTAAGGTCTAGAAATCCCAATTAAGAAATCTAGAGAGCTGGATTTTAGTTCAGTAATCAGATCTGTGCATGTGGGAAAACATGGAAATCAGCTGTACCAGAAATAAGCAAGCAGCATGGCCCAGAGATGGCAGCAAAGCACTTTTGGAGCAACACTGAAACCAACTACATGCTTGACGAACGAAAGCATTTCAGTTTTCTGCATAGATGATGTACGTTCATATTTTCAGGTAAAGTGGCGCGATGTTTTAGAAAAAATCTGCGGCATGAAATTTGGGTTTTACATTATGTTCACGTCACATCTTCTGTCAGTTTATTGGCTGGTTGCAAAGCAGAAATCTGATTACTGCCTGACTCGTGTAAACCTGGAGTTTCCCCATTATATGTTTACTCAAGTGCATGCAAACGCATTGAACGTATTACTGACAAAATCAGATTTTCTACAGTTATCGGATTATTAAGTGCATATAAGCGCACTCATTATCATAGAAGTGGATTTTAATCTCAATTTTTGACCTGAACTGAGGGTCTAGCTCTAAAAGTCATGGTTCACCACTGCAACATACCAGCAACTCAGAAGAAGAAATATTGGTAACACTTTACTGTAGGGTGCTGTTCATAAGGCTACATGACAGCTACATAACCTTTTCCTAACAACAGACATAACCCTACATAAATGTTTGTAAGTGTTTATTCCAGCAGACATCATCCGTTATAAAGGTTACATTTGCCAATTTTGATCAAAGTCAGCTAAAGTAGCCTTTATGACAAATGACGCCTGTTGGAATAAGCATTTATAAACAGTTATGCAGGGTTATGTCAGTTGTCATGACAAGCTTATGTAGCTGTCATGTAGCCTTATGAACAGCACCCTACAGTAAAGTGTTACCGAAATATTTAGTACAGAATTTAGACACAGCATCAGTTTTTCAGATGTGCCCCTCACCGTGTGGAACCAGAACTTGACGATGGGAGCGTTGTAAAACTCATAGATTTTACGGCCCACCGGAATCAGGCGATGCCGGTGCTGAACCTCCTGCACTTCCTTCTTACAAGATGCTTCTGAGCTCACGTTCCCCAGCATGGCCTGAGAAAAGTGCATTTGAGAAGAGCGAGAAGAGAGAAAACAGAAAAACGCAGGCTTTATATTTAATGTTAGTAACGTAAGAAGAGTTTTTTCCCCACTCAGAATTGTATGTGGCAGTTGTTGAAAAAACTGCCGAACAATTCTGAGTGCTCAGGCAGGTGGTGCATGTGGAGAGGGCTTTGATGATCTTGCTGTAGAATGGTGGAGTAGAAGAGAGAACATCAGAGATAGAGAGAGAGAGCAAGAGAGAGAAAGTAGAAACTGAAATTTTAATGCCATTTCCATGTGTCTCTGGAACACATTCTTAAGCCAAGAGTGGGGAGCTCATACTGATGGAGAATATGGCACACTCTTGGACTTCGTGTCACAATTGTATTGCAACCTCTTTATCTGTTTTACTATTCAAGCCGTCAACCATGGCTGAGCTGCTTAGCACCCATAGCTAAGCTACCCCCCCTCTCTTTGTCTTCCAATTGGATAGCGTCGAAAAGAGGCCAAATTGTTACAAAGACTCATATAGACAGTTAAATTATCCAGGCGTTTGAACCTGACAGGTTTGAAGTGCATTAACGAGAGACTGGTATATGGAGTCAAGATGATGCCACATAGCAAGTGTGGTGGATTAGCTACCCTTAAAGCAGCACTATAAAGCCAATAATACAAAAGTCAGAGGCATTGGGCCATATTTTGTGGGACTTTTTTGGACCATGTCATATGTTTTCCATATTAACATTGGCGTCATGCACACAGGTTCAAAAGGAATCACAGCATGAGCACCTAAACCCGGATTAAACACACCCTGAGTTCTTAAACCGGGATTAACTGAGAAAGTCTTTTGTGCAGCCGAAACTCAGTCAGAAAGCCTGTCTAGGTCGAAACTGGTTCAATAGACACTACTACTTGTTGACCAACTACAAGCCAAAACAAATGGCGTAACATTAACACCACCAAAAAATTAAGACGTACTTTTATCTTCAAACCTTTTCTCTTTATTTGTTCCTTTTCTTATCTGTTTTTTGGCTATAAATGTGTGCATTCTAAACATGATTAACCAGTTTCTTCACTTAAGAACATCTTAGACAATACAATGGTACAGTAATTACCTAGAAGTTGTTGGGAGCCCCTAGTGGCTGTGGGGCCTTAAGCAGCTGCTTATGTCGCTTATTAGGTAGAGGTCGCACTGCAGCAAGCAGCGTTTATAATTAATTGCGTTCATGTTCTCTTGCAATATCTATGTTTTTGTGCTATTGTCTTGACTCCATATATGTGCCATTAGGCAAAGGCAGTTAAATTGCAATACAATTTTTCCACTTTGTGTCATAACTTTATAAATCTGAGGTAGATTCATAGTTGAATGTGGGAGGTCAACTGCCCAAGCTGTGTTGAACAATGACAGTTTAGCGCAATGAGGCAAATGCACCATTGAGCAATGAAGTAATTCACTTAAAGACTTGTTCATGTCTCATTGCCCTCTGGACTTCATTTCCCATGAGTCATTTGCGCTAACCTGCAGCTTAAATGCAATCATGACAGTAATTGGAAACAAGAGTTCAAATGACAGCTGTGTGAAGGAGTTTGAGGTTTTAGCACAAACATTTGCACAGAAGGACGCTTTTTTGGGGTATGGACCAGCAAGCGGAATGCAGATGGGCAGCCTGTCCACTGAACATGCACAGCGATGGCAGGAAGGCATGGACGAAAGAGAAGAAACATTCAGCGAAATGTCACAGTACCGTACTTCAGACGAGGGACCGTCGCTAAAACGGAGGAGGACAGAAAGAAAACAAGGACGGACACACGGACGGACAGACAGACAGACAGACGGGCAGACAGACACAACGGAGACACGCTACAACTCCACGACCACACGTCTTTGCTAGGACAACGAGGAAAGGGGCAAAGCAGGGAGTGGTGGGCAAAGAAGGGGGCGGGACATATTCTTTAAGGGAAGGAGCCATGGACTGGAAAAAAAGAACAGAGATTTGAAAGGGAAGGCCAAATTTCGGGGCAGCGCTGCGTGTGTTTGTGTGTGCTGGACTACAGGCTAAAGAACGGGGCTAAGATGGGTGCTCTCACCACGGAGTTGTACTGCGCCTCACAGTATGCTCTTACGGTGAACTCCATGTCCTCCTCCTCTTTGTCCTTGGCCGGCTTGTCGGCCTCGTCCGAATCCTTCTCCTGCAGGTAGGCCTCCTGCTCCTGAGGCATGTACGACATCTCGTCCTTGTTCTTGAACTCCAGGCTCAGGATGGAGGGAGGCAGCAGCAGGCCCAGAATCACCTGGAACCACAAGCACACATTTACAGACATGGAAGCATGTGCGTCAAACCAATTAGTGACAATCTTCTTGGAATTCTTTTGGATGTGACACCGCATCATTCCTTAAACTGCCTAGTCGTGGGGCCTTGAGAAACTTTGGGTTAAATATCACTCAAGGCAGAGCTCAAAGTAGGGGACGTCGGACAACAAGGCTGTCGTCAACCCAAAGGTGGTGTAACATAAATGAACATGGCTGAAGAATATGTACCTCTTAAAGGAGAAAAGAGTTTCATTAGCTAACAATAGCGTTTTGATAACTGGCTTATTTTACTTGTGTTATCAGGTACAGGTGTTAAAAGAGCACAGAGGGGCCGTACCTTTGTTTGTAGTGGATTTCTTTGCAATCCATCATGAAAAGTTTACAATAGTGTTTTCAAGGGTGCATTCTTATTACAAGATCATGTCAGGTACCTGCTGATTTGCTATGGGGAGCCTGGGAGGGCCTATGCCCTCTCAGTCGAAAACCAGGGTCAGCTATAAGTACACTCAAAAAATTTGCCAGTGAAAATGCTACAAAATGTAATCCATCTTGCATGCTTATGATGCAGGATGAACCCAATGGAGGAGTTCTTGCATTCTCATGCCTTTTTCCACTGTATATAAGCCCTCCTTTGATTGCCAGCAATTTACACCTTCGCAATACTGCTGATTGCCACAAGTATTCACATTCCATCGGAGGTTTACAGCAACTCTAAAATAAGGCATGGAGCTTTTTTTTAAAAAAGCCAACATATAAAATGTAGTTATGTCATAACTGAAGTTTGGGGGGAAGAACATGCCTGAAAGCCCTCCTCCTTCCAATCTAACGCCCTATCAATTCACATACTCACTTTCCATTCCCATGGAAAAGGGTTCGCAATCCCCACCGCCACCCCATCTCCTCCCTGTTCCTCAGTCCTACATACATGTACTAATATCCTTATTTCATTCCAAATTTTAGGTGGAAACACAAGTGTAAATATCTTTAAATACCTACGGAATGTCCAGCTTTTTCCCCCCATAGTATCTCAGTAAATACAGCCAAGTGAGTTTTTCTATTGGTTGGGACTTAAGGAGCTGGACTGAAGGCCTAATGTGTTAGGTTACTAGTTAAAATAATTAAAAACTGACAGTGGAAACAACCAATCACGTTTTGATTGGTTTTGGGGGCAGTCATCATCTGGACTTAGGGAACCAGCCCTTTGATCGGAAGGTTGCTGGTTTGATCCCCTGAGCCAACAGTACGTGACTGAAGTGCCTCTAAACAAGGCACCTAACCCCCAACTGCACTTCAGGGCTGGCGCTGTGGATAGGGCTGCTCACCACTCCGGGCAAGTGTGCTCACTGCCCCTAGTGTGTGTTCACTAGTGTGTATGTGGTGTTTCACTGCACGGAGGGGTTAAATGCAGAGGTGAAATTTCCCCATTGTGGGACTAATAAGGGTCACTTAATCTTAATTAATTTCCAGTGGGTATGACCAATTTTGTGAGAAAAAACATCACTCTAGCCTAACCAGATTTCAGTCAGTTGTTATGAATGGAAAGTTGAGGAGCTTCCCCAGTGCCCTGACCGAAAAAGATTAGCTTTCTCATATTAGTACAGAAACAAAGTGGAATGCTGATACTCTCTCCACTCCACCGACTAGGTAGAAATCCAGCTGGGAATTCTATGAGCTCTTCTGATTTGTATTCCAGAATGCTACCAAACCCTTCAGACAATACCAGCTCAACAGAGCAAACATGCTTGTGCATAATCTGAGGCACAGCTATAAGATTGTACAGCTCTCCCTCATGCAACAGCTTTGACATTCCCTGAAAAAAGACAGAGAAAAACAGATGCAGTCAAAAGGGGAATCTCTGACTCCTAAAGCCCTGTAATGCTCTGCTCCAGCAGCTGCCAAACGCATGTTTGAAAGAGAGGGGCCAGCTCGAGTCTGCTTCCCGCATGGCTTACGCTGCTGCAGGACGACTAGCTGGCATTCTTAGATGAAAAAAGAGTGGCTCTATCAGAAACAAGCAGGTTATTCCTGCACTTCCTTTGGCCTTTCCCGATGGTTCTTGCATCGAAAATGCATACATCAACAAATGCTTTTAATGGCAAAGAGCTTCAATTTTAGACATTTCAAGCCCAAATGTTAAGAAGAACTATTTTGTCCTTTCGGCAAAAATCAAACCACCTTGGGAGTCACAATATCTTATGCCCATTTTACCATCTTGGCTGTAAATATGTGCTGATGTGCTGGTATAGGCTAAAAAAGTATAATATAAATGAAAACACAGACTCACTTTGCTCTGCTTTAAGCTGTAGCTCAGCTATAGTTGCTTTTCTCACATCTCCAGCAGGAAACTTTTCCAAAATTGGAATAGTTCCTTGTAAAATGTCTTTCATTGTTCAATTGTTTACAAGGTTGAAGTCAGCTTCTCTTCTTGTTTGAATTTTCCCGTTCCACCTTAAATGGTGCAGCAGGCATCGTTTAAGGTGGAACTGAAAACTTGAACAATAAGAGAAGCTGGAGAACGAGAAGCTGACTTTAGCTTCATGACTTTTTAGTGTTTGACAGTTTCTCGTTGCAGATTAAACGTATCAGAAAGCCAGCTGGAATGCTTATAAATGAAAATAAGTCCATGCGTTTCCATTTATTCATGTTCATCTTAAATCTTTCTCTTTGCCTTTTCGTTAGCTAGTAGCAAGAGGCAAGACTATTGTCTGCGTTGCTATGTGACCAGCAGTCTGTGCGCCAACCTTCCGAGTTAATGGGTGAATTAGCTGTTCTACATTAACTCCAACCTTAAAGACCATTTAGCGTTAAAACTGTGTTGAACGATCAGCAGAGCTTTATTTTACTGCAAAGGAGGATTATTTTATTTTTACCTAAAAATCTAATTCTGCTGCAGAGCCGCAACAGGATGTAACTGAGCCGCATGCGGCTCCAGAACTGCATGTTGCTGACACCTAGCAAAGAGTATGAAACACCAAAATAATTAGGGGACGCGTCCAAATACTTTTGACCATATAGCGTATAATGAATCATCTGATCGGCTGACAAGCATTAACAACCTCCCAAAAAATGTGGAAAAGATGTCTGCTGATGATTATCTATATATCTGTGATCCAGTGGTCAGAACATCCAGATGACTCAGTAGATATAGAGTAGAATATGCCAGGAATTTCACAGGGAGTTTCCACATACAATAACACCTAACATCAGGCATCTCTAAATGAATGGGGAATTTGAAGAATGCTGATATCTCAAACGGTTGTAAAAGCTTAATGACAATGTGTCACTTTGACTCAACACATTCCTGTCTTAAAGGGTTAGCGTGATGACTTATATAAATTGTGGTTTCAGCATCCATTTCAAAACTCAAAACCTAATTAAAACAGAAAACTCAGCAATTCCCCAATTCCCAACAAAAACACAAGGTTGATCTAATTTGCTGAAAGAGCTTGGCTCTGAACGCACCATGCTGAAAATAACCATTAAAACTTCATTATCTGTCAATTAGGAGAGTAGGGGGGTAGAAACGCTCTGCAAATGAGACAGGTGCTATTACAATCTCAAACTGACTGTATTTTGATAGCAGTTTTAGGAATTTGTGATGAGACAAGACTGCTTTAGATATAAAAGGGGCTACTATTACCACTGTCCATCATTGTAATGGCTCCAGTAATGACTCCATCTGGGTTGTTCTCAGTTCTCCTTTAAGTCTAATGGACGCTGGTCATTCTGACAATCATAGGCGGGTCAATCATGGAAAGACACCATCCTAACAACTATAACATTAGCTTGGTTACCACTAACATTAGCGAAGCTACTAACAGCGTGGTGGCAAGCTAACCAGATTAGCTAAACTTGTAGCAAAGCTAGCTAGCTACAGTCTTTACAATCCTTAAAAAGATGGTTCTTCAAAAATGGTTCTATATAGATCCACGAGTTTGACATTGTAACAATATCAAAGCCCTTTTTGGTGTTATGTAGAACCATTTTCAAAATGGTTCTATATAGAACCATATACAACACATTCTCCATCAGTCTGAAGAACCATTTCACCATTCAACAAACCATTTAAGCATGAAAAATAATAGATATTAATCTGAATACAACCATTCCCTTTAATAAAGAACCTTTGAGGAACCATCTTTTTTGAAAGCAGAAGAACAAAACTGGCACCTAACAAGTGTCAGCAAGTCTTGTAACTTTACCTACTGAAAATAAAATGGGTTTTAAGCCATACATCTGGTTTATGTTGACTTAAATCCTATGGGGTCCTACCCAGATTGGTCACAGGCCTACCCTATTAAATGAGGAAGAATTAAGCTGATATTTGATTTTGTTTGATTAGGAAGTGATGTCATTGTATTATGGCTAATCAAATTTGTTGCACCCTCCATCTTATTCCTGAATGTGCAATCCAGTTGACCCCTCCCAAGCTCTGACTTATTTTCTCAGCCCTGAGAAAAATAATTGCTTAGCACCCATTGCTATCAAACTTGGGGGACCTGTAAAAGTGAGACCACAACAGAGTGGAGTACATTCTTTTGAACCCATTTCCAAAAACCAATGTCACTGGCCGATGGATTTTCTACAAAAGCTAAAACAGCTGTGTCAACATATCAAAACAAATGTCCGTTCATTAAGTCATCAAAGGTAGGATATGAATGAATATTTTTTTCACACATGCTGTGGCAGAATGCTTTAGCATAGCTGCTTTACATTTGCTGTGTTGTTCATTTCAGCTGTCTGATTTGAACTCAGTTATGTCATCTTCACTGGACTAAAGTTTTGCCTGTAGGTGCATGCTTTATTGTGAAAGATGTTCTTGGTTGGATTTATGTAAATCTAGCATTCTTGTTGATGTGAAAAGTCTGGCTGTTGTTGGTCAAAGCATTGGAATTGGTCTAATAATGACAGCACTGCCATCAGCATAAGGCTGTCGCCTGATGTTATGACACTTGGGGACATAACGTTTGGGAAAAAAAAATCCTATGTGGGTTAACATCACTGAAAAGTCATCACTTTAGGCCCTCTGGAAGATCTAGATAGATCACTTACTCTGTATATAAATGGTAGCTTAACCAAGTTTCTGTTAGTTTTTAGGAAAACAGAAGTGGCAGCTCTATACCAGGACTTGTTGCAGGCTTCAAATAAAATATATGGAATAGCCAAAAAATATTCATGTGCACCAGCTTTAGCTCAGTGCTAAACAACTATTAGAAACTGAACAGGGGTGCTGGTCTTGTTTTTTGACCGAGTTTAGATTTTCATGGCCTGAACTGAAGGCCTACCTCTAACAGTCGTGGCTCACCACTGCTTAAATCTAACACTATCCCAAAATCTATCGCTGGTGAAAAGACAAAATACAAAATAATTACATTTGTTACAGTTTCATTGGTGTTGCTCTTTAAAGGTTACGCGCAGTTTGTGGTCTGACCTTGAGGCCGGAGTTCTTGCGCATGCGCAGCCGCCCCATCCACATGTCAGTAAGCAGCATCTGGCTGCACGTGTGGGCGATGAAGTCGCGGTGCTTGGCGGCTACAGCCAGCTGCAGGCAGGTGGCGTTGCTCCAGTTCTTCAGCTCGTAGGTGAGCAGCTTCATGGCCATCTGCTCATCCTGCTTGTACGACTGATCCAGCAGCTCCACCGCCAGCTGCCCAAACTCCCTGGGTGAGGCGGAAATTGCATGAGAGAGGTGGATGAGGGACGGGACACGTGGTTACAGGCAGACAGGTGTATGCGTGCACACTCACACACAGCCGCAGACACACGATACGCCCTTTAATTAGCCCGTGCATATATTTCAAAGGAGCATGCTTGGCAGACTGACAGTGTGGCCAGTCACTGCGCCTTTAATGTGATGTAAGTTTGGCACAAGATTAGTTCTTCTCTCAAACCTTCCCTCCCCAAAGAGCTATGCTCGAGACTTATGGGCCAGGACACGAGAGAGAGAGTGGCATTTGAAATCTCTGCTGTGGAATAAGACATCTGGAAAATCCCAGGAAATTTATCTCATGGTTGAGAATCAAATTAGGCATGGAATAGGGTGTAGATTAAGTGAAAAAGAGATTAGGTTCGTGTTACCACTATATAAGATTGGTGCTACTAGTAGATAAAATCACTGTTGCCAAGAGATGAAATTTGTATGTTTTTCTGTGAGATAAGGCTGATGTTACAGAAAGATTAGGCTGGTGTGACCCTGAAATAAGAATGGTGTTACCAAAAGATAAAGAAAGTGTAACCAGGAGATAAAGATGGATTAATTGAGAGATTAGGATGGTGAGATAAGAATGATGTTACCAAGAAATAAGAAAAGTGTTACCGAGAGATAAGGTTGGTGTTACCAAGTGATAAAGATGGCATTGCCAGAAGATAAGGCTGGTGTTACCAAGAAATAAGGCTGGTGTAACCAAGAAATAAGGCTGGTGTTACAAAGAGATAAGGGTGGTGTAACTAAGAAGTAAGATTGGTGTAATCAAGAGATGAGGATGGTGTAACCAAGACACAAGGCTGGTGTTACCAAGAAAAGGACCAGAAAACAAACAGAACAAATTACTCTACACATTTAGATCTGTTCTTGCACCTGGAATTGTGATTGAGTTCCTGCGAGATGTCGTCCACCATGTCATTCTCTGATGCCTCATGCGCCATGGCCTTGCAGAGCTTACACGCCACCAGGGCCTTGGCCATGGCCTCTTCGCCGTGCTGCCAGAAGAAGAGCGCCATCTTCTGCCTCTTCATCAGCACTGCCCACACCATCAGTTCATGGAAGGGGAAAGGGAAGTGGTTGATCTCTGGGTCGTCCAAGTCAATGTCCACCTCCTCCTCTCGCTTCCGTGTGGTCTTCTGGCGCCCTCTTCGGATTGGCATGTCGTCCTGTTGCGTAAGAAATTTTTTTGCAGGATTAAAATCAGGAACTCAAAAGTGCCATTAAATACAAACCTAGAGACTATTACTGACATTGGACACTTTGAAAGGGGCAATGATGTAACCAATGCAGAAGTCTTATTCATGGTGCTCAAAAAGTGCTAATATTACAAGAATTTGACACATACTGTACAATTCAAAAGTCAGAGACCAACATTTTTCTTTATTTCCAGTCAAGTCCTTTAATTTCCAAACCTTTTCCTGGACTGACAAGTCTAAATTTGTAATTGGGATTATTTGGATTGTGAGAAGCAGAAAATGTAACCAACTTCTAAGACTGAACTTCAAAGTTGTGGAAAAATATCCCCGCAGATTTCTTTGAAAGAATGGAAACTGTAAAAAAAAAAAAGATAAAGAGTGGAAACTGGAAATACTGAAAAATGTATGTTTCTGCTTTTTTCCTGACACTGAAATTAAATAACTTGTACTTAATGGCTGTTTTGACTGGAAATCAAATAAATGAAAGGGTTGTCTCTGTTTTTTTGCACAGTACTGTTCATAATAGTGATGGACATAAGAAGTACTTGTTATGTTCGTTTCAGATCTGGCCAGAAATCAGCGACACCTACATAAATACATGGCATGATTGATAGCTGTTTAGTAAATATTTTGCCTCCACACATGCAGTGTGAGGAAAAACGTTGGTGGTTTCTAACAGTAAACTGTGTGGGCTGGCATTTGAAAACGTGGGGAGGGGGTTGGAAAATAGAAAAACACGCACTCACCTCCATTCCAAGCAGCTTCAGGGCCTTTGGCTATGAATGATGACAACAAAAAGTGGCATTTAGGAACACAGCCAGATACGCTCTCTGCATATTTATATCATCTACATCCTAAGACCCCCTATGTACCCTGTTCTCACCACACACTCTCTCTCTTGGACCCCCGAATAGTCTCTCGCTCTAACACACTCATTAGAGCAATATGAGTGACCCCTGGTGTGTTTGTATGAGGGAGAGAGAGCGTGTTAAAGCGAGATGTATCTGCGTTAAAGCAGGGCATGTATGCATAAATGAACAGATGAGCTAGCGTGTGCGCTGGGAGCTTAGCAAAGAAAAATCTGGAGCAGCTCTCCTGTGTGGCTGTTAATATCTCCCATCTATTTTAGGCCTTTTAGCATTCGCAAAAGCCTGTATATATGTTTATGTTTGATGCTGGCATGTCTTTAAATGTGTGGATATATAGTTTGTGCAAAGGAAGGACGAAGTAGGACAAATCCTGCAGAGCACATATGCACACCACTAGGGCTGTATAAATGGGGTGGTTATAGAAACCACTGTCTATAAAACCCCAAGAAACAAGCTACGTCTTGTTTTACTGGACCACGAATTGGGGTTGTGCCATTTGCCATGCGAGTGTGCATGATAAAGATATAGGATAGGATATATTGTAATGTGTTGATCACTATTTTTAGAATCAGCAGTAAAGTTATATTTATTTGCCAATTTAACCAGCTAGCTTGATTTCAGCCTTAGAGTATATGGACCATTCTACTGAACTGGTTCATCGCCAGAGTTGCAAACACATTTAGGACTTTTAACTGACTTGGACTTTACACTAAAATCTTTTTGCTGTAAGTGACATTGTACCTTAAATATGTTTAATTTATTAAAACAAATGATTGAACCTTCCATTTTGTCACTACCAAAACAATCATAGCACTACTGAAACATTACCTAAATGTTTCAGTGATGACTGTCTCAGTAGTGACAATTTTAGCTCATTTTGAACAGAACTCAAAAAACGCTTGGCAGGATGTGACTAACAAACACAGCTTTGAGCAACTATACACACATAAAATCATGATATTTAGCATTAAAACACAATAGAGTTTACTTAATTGCAGAAAATGTGTTTTACGGTAGTGACATTTCATAATTTAACACATTGATACATACTTAAAAATGTTTAACATAGAAATACATTTGAGAATGGCCAACTTTTTTTACTCTTTCTCTCTCTCTCATTTTCAACTATGTCAAAAACTGAAAAACAGGGCTCCCTGAGTGGCGCAACCGTCTAAGCGTTGGCCCTGTCATCAGGAGATCGCGAGTTCGATCCCTGGTGATGCTACAGCCATAGGATGGCCCCTCCTTCTCCCTGCATCACTCAGTGCAGGCGTCTGTTAGCTGACGTAACAGATCTGGCATTTGGCGCTTTCCTCCGAGCGCGTTCGGCGCTGGATTGTATTAAATCACTACAACTTGGAACACTAAATAGAAGAACACTAAAGAACATGGTATATAGCTCACTTTAACTATAAATAGAATAATAAATTTGTGATTTAGATAGATAGAACTTTATTGATCCTGGAGGGAAATTGCAGGGTACATTGCAAATTTACATGTGTTATAGTGTTGATTGTGAAATGAAAAATGAGTTTCAGTAATGTTTAGTAACATAATGAGAGCTAAACAGGCTGAACCAGCAGCAGTGGAAGCAGATTGGGTGTGTGTGTGTATATATATATATATATATATATATATATATATAGATATAGATAGAGAGAGAGAGAGAGAGAGAGAGAGAGATTTGCTGTTATTGACGAACTTAGAACTAATATATATTTATTAACTTATCGGTCACATCTGGTCATATGATGTTTTGTTAATTTTCGAAGAGAAAATAAGTAACACGTCCTCTACAGAGAACACACTTCTGCACATTTGCACATGAAAAAAACACAAAAATGTGGCCTATACCAAAGTTACAGCACAATTTATATTCTATGTTTTATTTTTTCTGGTATGTTAAACCTTGTAAATAAATAGAAATTGTGCACTAAAATGTGCAGCAAATGCCTTATTTAAGTGTGTTCTCTGTAGAGGATGTGTCCTCTTTAAGTTTCACTAAGAAAATCAACAAAACATGAATTTGACTGGAGGTGCTCAGACAATTTTGTGTCTTATATATGGCATCAAATGTTGTGGACACACTCTTTTCATGAAACGGTTTAACGTTATATATGGTAATGAAATGATATTGCATAGTAATTTTAATTCATTTTGGATAAATTCTGTTGATCAGTTAATCATGAGATGCTTATGCAATGTTAAAAAAATCTTTTTTCCTACTCTTTTTTAAGTCTCCATAATTTGCAAAAACAAACACACACACACACACCTCGCTGTACAAACAAAAAAATTGCGCCCTCAGCACTGCAGCTATAGATCATTAAGGTGTTCTGTCTTCTTCCTGTGAGTCGTCTCCCCTAATCTCAGAGGTTCAGGGTTTACGCAGCAGATCTATAGCTGCCTGAATTTGCTGATGTCACCTATTTACCTGCTCGCCTCAATCAAGACACCCAAAGGTAAGAAAAATCCCAGCCGGCACCTCCGGAGAGGCATGTCAATTTTCGTCCGCCCAATTTTTCAGCCGCGTATACTCGGGGCTGCCGCTGTGCCACAGTGTAAATAATTCTCTCTGCACTCAATCTCTGATCTGCGGCGGCTCCGCATCTCAGCAGGGGCTGCTAGAAAAATGTGTTTCACTGTCGGCAGATAATGTGCTTAAAGGGGATCTGGCAGAATCTTATCACACATTCTGTTTGGACGCTCCGAGCAGAGGTGAGGCAATGGAAGGATTTGTTTTCACCTTTGTCAAGTCGCAGTTCTCGAATTGCTGAATGTCTCATTTCTTGAATTTTTTGCAGAGTTTGAGAGGTCTGCTGTTCGTTTTCAGAGATTACATGTCATGTAATCTCTTAAGCAGCATTTGAAATGTTCCTGAAACTAAAGTTATCACGGATTACCTTTCGAAACCTTCCAATTGTTTTGACTCATTTGAGTGGCCTAACTTAGCTGTGGGCCTTTTAGGCTTTAGGCCTTTTTAGGCTTTGCAAGACTTTAGCAGTCTACAGGAAGAAAATTGTAGCCAACAACATGATGTAAGTTGCAGTCACACTAACAATTTGCAGTTTGTGACAAAATAGATGTGAGTACAGAAAATAATCCTCCTTTTTATGCAGCTAGCAAGCTAGCTAACTTGTGAAACGACAAAACACAAAAGTAAATATAATGATACTAGTTAAGCACATGTTGTGAGTGCTACACACTGAGTCGTGGCAAAAAAGTGTAACTGATGTGCTTGATGGCATGACTAGCACGCAGTGCTTAGCCAAGCAGCTAACCAAACAGTTAGCAAGCTGCTGAACTTCCCTACCATAAACAATAAGAACACAAAAGGAGAAATACCATCAAATACAGCCCTTTTAACTGACAGTATATCATGCCTCATCTTTCTATGTGTTTATTTAAAGCTAGCTGGGAAGAACTGTGCAAAGGGTCGAGCTAAGATGCTGCTAAAAGTAGCGCTAACCCCAGTTTTGGATCTTCAGTGCTGCTGTATGATGCATTGACAGTATTGTAGTGTTCTACTATTGGTTCATTTGGCTGTGGACGTGTGGAGCCTCCTGGGAAAGTGCCGGGAGTGTGGTCGGAGGGTAGATTGTGGGGGTTGGTTGTGTCATTCTGTTTGGGGCTGCTTTAATTAGCGCTAGGGGGTGGTGCTCCACTGCTTCTGGTTCAATAAAAGGCCATTTCTTGAAAACGCTATCTCCTTTTTTGCCAGATGCAACAGTATACACAAACTAAACCCAGTCGTCCTGCTGTTTTCAGTGAGGTCAGTTGTGTTACAGTGTGACCACCATGACCAGCCTGACCAAGCTTGTTGACTAGCATGGTGGTCGACCATCTAAATCATCTACCCCAACAAAAATATACGTTATGCTGGTCACCCGCGAAGTTGGTCTACCAGCTTAATCAGCATGTTGACCAGCATAGGGTATGTTTTCGCCTAGTCCAGCTGGATGACCAGCTTGTTAAGCACCTAGACCAGTATTTTCCAATCCAGTCCTCAGGGTCCCCATTTTTCTTTCGTCCCCAGCCTTGAGGATTGGGTTGGGAAACACTGACCTAGACATTCAAAGGCCAGCTCAGACTATCTGAAACCAGCTAAAGCTGGTTCTAGCTGGATTTTTTTTAGCAGGGTCAGTAGCAACTCAGAATAGTCAAGACAACTGACAACTGCATAACAAGTCAGGTTAACAACCTAATAAGGTCAAGACAATTTTCATGGTATTGAGGGACTCACCCTTTTAGGGCCGAACAGATTGTGGTAGAGGGTTCGAAACCTCTTCCTTGTATAGTTGCAGCGATAGGCCCCGCCCATCAGATACTCAATCACCAACCCAATGTCAATCAGGCTGATGCGATAGTCGGGTGGCAGGTTACCCTGAAGATAAAGAGGTTACTCAGGCTGGACTGTACATGTTCAGCCCAAGATGGTTATGAAGTAGGAAATGCCAGATGTAGTTCATACCCCAGTCATACCACTCATAAACAGTTTCTCACACACATGAACACACACACTGACTTGTCGCTAAAAGCACTACGAAGATAAGGGACTGGCTGATTCACCTTGAGGTAGATCCAACTGAACCCTGGATATTCTTGCTTGGAAAGAACACACAAGGTAAGTGAGACAGAATCACACGCGAAGGATCCGGCGACCAACACAACACCACCCCACCAACAAACAAAGCTCCACTAAGACATGAAGACCCCAACAGTACAAAAAACACCCAGCTAAAAAAACAAAAACACAACTGAAAGACAAACACCCCTATGACACGAGCACCCAGTAAAACACAACACAGCTAAAGTACTGCTAAACACAAACACGCTAAAATGCTAATACCCCACTAATACACAAAAGCACAAAAGGCCATGTAGTGTCCTTCACCAAACAAAGCACCAGGTCCAATAATATTTTCAACATGAGCTCATTTCTTAGCTTGAGCAGACGCAATAAACACCGCTGACGGCCATAAACAAGCGGATGGCAGGAAAACACGCAGCACTGCTGAAACCGAACATGCTGATCATTTTGTGGAAACATGCTCTAATAGCTTTAGCAAATCTGGCCTCTAGCACCTACAGGGCTAAATGAGATATTTACTCTCGCAAGGCAGTAAAAAAAGGAAAAGAACAGAAGGTGAGGAAGAAGAAAGAATGAATACAACTGTCTAGGAAAGGTCCAGGTTTTTCACAATTCTACTGACATTTGAATTTATGCTATTTGCAATGTACTCCACTCTACAGAACTCTGGAACTGATGTCACATCGCACTGCATTATGGGATCATTCCAACATATCGGCAGGGTTAGTTCTTTGCTCATGTCCTACTAATGCTTACATTACGAGAAATGTTTTATTGTGTTCTTTTCAGGCTTTTGTCTATTTTTATGAGTAATTTAGAATGTTCAAGTCATTCTCAGTTCATGTACAGTTTACAAATTAATATTCTGCTCAGCCACTGGTATATAACTAATTTACCAGCATATACTCAGCCACTGACATATTTCACTCTGTTACTGGCATATTTCACTCAGTTAATGGCGTAATTTAATCAGGTATAGGCAAATTTCACGCAGTCATAGTCATATTTCACTCAGTTACTGTCATATTTCACTCAGTTATAGGCAAATTTCACTCAGTTACAGGCAAATCTCACTCAGTCACTGGCATATTTCACTCAGATATTGGTAAATTTCACTCAGTTACTGGCATAATTCACTCAGCTACTTACATATTTCACTCAGTTAATGGCATATTTTAATCAGGTATATGCAAATTTCACTCAATTATTGGCAAATTTCAATCAGTTACTGGCAAATTGCACTCAGGTATAGACAAATTCCACTTAGTCACTGGCATATTTCGCTCAGGTATAGGCAAATTTCACTCAGCTACTGACATTTTACTCAGTTATAGGCAAATTTCACTCAGTTACTGGCAAATCTCACTCAGTTATAGGCATATTTCTCTCAGGTATACACAAATTTACACTCAGTTACTGGCACTTTTTAATCAGGTATAGGCACATTTCATTCAGTTACTGGCAAATAAGATGAACAACAAATGAGCCATTAATATAGTCTTTAAGATAATGTTAATCATATGTTACTTCAGCTAGCCTTACTAGCCTAATGACATCATAACTTACTTCATCTTGTACCTTTTAGCTGAATACCGGTGAGATCATGAAAAGTTAGTTAGCTAATATCAAACATGATGTTAAATGTTTTATTCTGCTATATCTATGCAGGTACAATATAAAATGAACTCCAATTTGATGTTTATTGGCACATTGTGATGCTTCCTGAGTTGTTTGACTAGAGTTATGCCTCCATAGTTAAATGAAACTTCTTTTTCCTATCCTTGATTTTGCTCTGATTTTCTGATCAGGTAGCCATGTAGCCACATGCTAGTCAGTTCTCACAACATATTGGGCTAAACCAAGGAAAGTAGGTAAGAAAAGGAAAATTAATTCAACTATTCAAACTGGCTAACTCTGCCAAAATGGCAGCTCACCCATAAGACACTGCGTCATGGCATCACATTCCTATTAGCAAGTCTGCTAGCATTAAGCTGTCTGTACATGGCTATAGCTACAGCTCCAATACAGCATCAAATACAATTATCCCTGTTTAGCATTCATATAAATGACTTTCCACAACAATCCTCTGAGTTCTGTTAGCAATTGTACCCTTCATCAAGCCACTGCGCCAACATTAAAGGCATCTGAATCATAAGACAACCATTGTTCCTTTCAAACGGGCTAATTACTTTCACCACCAGCAGATTAGATCTCAAACACGCTGGCCTTGATTTTCCCCCACAGCATTCAGGGCTGACTGAACATTTGTAAGCTGAATCAATATCAAAGGGTGCATTGATTTCATAAAAGCCTAAAGCCACACTTGAGTCTCCATCATAGTAATGGGCATATTCGTGGCACATTGGTGTAACTGTAATGTCTTCCAATATTCTAAAGAATCAAATGCCTAATCATTGGCCCTATCGTCAGGAGATCGCAAGTCCAATCCCTGGTGATGCCATACCCATCCATGGCTGGAAGTTTGAGAGATTATAACTGGCACTCTCCGGGTGGGTAGGATGGTTGTCCCTCTCCCCCATCACTTAGCACGATGTAGGAGTCTGTTAGCTTACGCAACAGAATTGGCAGTTAATGTTCTCTTCCAAGCATGTTGAGATGACATTAGGGACAGTTTGAAAAGATGTGGTGGTACTTCACACGTCTTGGAGGAAACTTGTTCAAGCCCTCACCCCCCTCTTTGTAGCATCATGCGATAGCTGAGATCTAGATAGTGGGTAGAAATTGGCCGTGAATAAAATCTGAAAGGAAAAAAAATTAGCCAGAGGACCAGTCTGTGGAGTTGAACTGAGTGGGCTGTGTAGACTAGCACTAGAAGTGTGTAAAGGGGCAATGTTATGAATGTCTACCAAACTAGCAACCAAAGACAGCAGAAGCACCCACAAAGTTAGCAAGTTGGCCACCAATGTCACAACTGTGATTTCTGAAGCAGGCAGTAGGTGCTCTAATTAGGACTCGGAGACCGTTCTCTTGAGCTTTGAGAAGTCAAAAGTCAGGAAGGGGAGAACAACGCAACTCTTTCACAGATGAAAATGGACAGAAGGTCAAGCAGGGAGGATTCATGCAGAGACAGAGAAGGCGTCTAATTAGGCGGCACCCTCCCTCAAGCCGGGAAGTGAAGCTGGCAAGCCATCTAGAGAGTTAAGGACTTTCCGAAATGTGCAACGAAAAATCTAAAATGCTATTCTACCAGCTACACACACACTCTCAGACACACACAACCACACCGACACTCATGCACACACAGCCGTTCTTTCCCTTTCTCACGTACAAGCATGCATTGAGACGTCATACCTTTTTCACATCTCTGACGAGGTGATACAGGGTGTTGGATGGTCCGTGCCTCTGTTAGACAAACAAACAAAGACATATCATATTAGAAATGTTCCTAAATAAGCAGATGAATGAACTAGCAGAGTGGTGTAGCTATCTGAGGTGTAGAACCCTGTTATTGCAAATATCACAGTCTCAGGCATGAGCTGAAGGTGAATCCTGTAGGTCACCACAGCTGTGATATTATTTGCGATAACACATGACCTCAAGTGTTTTATACAACAGTTCTTCAAAATAAAGAAATCATAAAGAAAAAATAAAGCAAAGAAGCTCTGAACATTGCATCAAATGTGCGTTAAAATTGACCTTTTGCATCAAGGATAGAGCCAAAAAACTGTCACAATCAGATTCGACTCAGCTTTATAAGTATTTGCCAGATTAACCTGAATGTGGTCTTGTTTCAATCGTTTCTGGCTAATCCTGCATTCACATGTTGGTGGTAGACGGTTGATGGCAAACCAGATATTCCATTGTTGTCAATGTACGAGTGGCAACGTTCCGCATTTCAGTGAACCAGTGGCAATGTTTCTTCTAATAATCACCCATTTTCACTCATAACGCTGTCACTTTGCCAATGTTTGCATGCCATCAGTCGCATAACGCTAGGAGACACTGAATGATGTTGCTTTCAAATCAAATGTTAACGCAGCATAATTGCAACAACAGTACTGAGAAATTCTGTTATTAACCAAGAAGAGCAGATTTAACAGCAATAATAGCCATGTGTTTGCATTAAAGGGTTGAACAGCCCGTTCCTGTCAAAGTAGGCAGTTCTTGGCGATCCTGAGAGACAAAACACACCAGACCCTCTTACCGTAGGCTGAAGTCTGGCATGTGAGACAAGCTATTCACTAACTACTATGAAACTAATCTGTCGGTTATGTAGTTATGAAAGTTAGGGGATTAAGCAAGGGCCCACCAAGTTAAAGCCTAACTTTTAAGTCTTTTCAGCAAAAACCCTGGAGAGCTGTGAGTTCCTATAGTGTGTTACCGTATTGTAGAGTTCCTCCAGCCTGGAAAGTGTGAGGAATCGGTGCATGCTCACGCCGTTCTCAATAAGCAGCTTCACAAAGTCCACACGGTCCAGCACCAGCGCATCCAGCATGGCCTGCTCCAGAGAGCCCACCTGGAACCAAAGAACACACAGCCACATCAGTGCCCCGGGGCTATGTGTGTGTATATGTGTGTGTGTGTGTGTGTGTCTGTCAGAACTCTCAGAGAACACACACCAAAACACACAGCACAAGGACCCTGGGGCTGAGTATGTCAGAGCACCCAGGAAGCACAGAGAACATAAACCAAAACATACTGGAAAAAAGACAGTCAAAACGTCTGCTCAGTCTGCTGCTGATTTAATGAGCTGACTCGAGTCAGGTCCTTTAAAAGTTTGACCTGCAGTGATTATATTCACGCAGTTAAATCATGTTTTAAAATCAGCAAATTAAAAGAACATGGATTTTATTCGCTTAGATAAGCACTAGGTGACCCAAAGCTCCACCTTGATTTTATATCTGAGTGAACAGTGTTGCCTCAAACTGAAATGTTGCATTACTTCACTTTTTAAAAAAAAAAAAAAAAGTTCCAGAACTTTTCCACAACTTTTTAAAGACCAATTTTAAAACTTCCAGATTTGTTTCACCAGTTTGATATTTATCAAACCAGGACTGTGTGCAAACTTTTTGAGCAGGTAGCACTGGCGCTAGAATATTGTAAAAGTTATAGCACAAATTAAAATACTGTAGAACTGAGGTATAAATGGCATAATAATAGGAGACCTATTAGCTGTTACTTCATAATAGACTCATCATGAAATAGTGAGGTATTTAGAATTATTCATCATTAATTATATATTAACATTACTTCAGAAAACAAATATAAACCATCATTTGATAGTGGTTTACAAATGACTTGCAGCCCCCATTCCAAAGTGATGTCACTGTTGTCCTGTTTGTGACTCCACCCTCTCCTGTCTCCTAACATGTAGCCCTTAATGCTTTCCTCTGTATGTAGTTTATTACCTCTACTTTCCCAGGTGGTTTCTATTCTTGTCTTCGGTGTAAGTACCTCTCATGGTTTAGTTTTTACACCGACTTCCTTGAAAGAGTGTTTATTGAGGTTGTTTATGAACTAATATCTCCTATTGCAGTGTATAGCAGTGTTTTTAAGGTATCTCCTATTCTTGTGGACAAAAGTTTGTAAATTACTTTTCGTTTATAGACAATTATAGATATTTATATAAACTGTTATAATCTGTTTTCACTTTAGGCTACGAGCTGCAAAATTGTTGCAGATACTTTGCATATAAGTGTACATGTAGCTCCTCTGGAATATCACAGCAACCACCTGGCAACACCCTAGCAACCATCTAGGATACCATAGCAACCCCCTGGCAACAGCCTAGCAACCACCTGGGAAAGCATAGCAACCACCTAGCAACACCCTAGCAGACATCTAGGATAACATAGCAAACTCATGGCAACACCCCAGCAACCACCTGGGATACCATAGCAACCACCTAGCAATGCCCTAGCAACCATCTAGGATACCACAGCAACCACCTAGCAACACATTAGCAATCACCTGGAATACCATACCAACTAGTTGTCAACACTTTAGCTTCCACCTAAAATGCCATAGAAACCTTTTGGTTGCACACTAGCAACTGCTTGGGAACTGCTTAAACTCTGCAATCACTCTGTGTTTTGTTTGGGAAATACACTTTTTTAGTTTTATATAATATGTTAAACGTAATCTGTTAATTCTAAAAAAGGGATATAGGCTGAAGATAACAATGAATTAATTGAAATTAAGAATTAAGTGAAAATCAAATATTTCTTGGAACATTTTAAGAGAAGGCAAAGTGTAAAATCCTTATATGGCAAAGCATTTTCATAAGTCCCATCGATGGTGCCTGTTTTGGTGCATTCTAAAAGGCAGAATATGTATAATGGTTCCTTACAGGCCACTGCTGTCCATAGATGAAGATTTGGCTGCGGGCGATATCCACGCGATTCCAGGCCAGAGCCAGGCTCAGCTGGTCAGGGGCTGAAGCATTGGCACCTGAAAGAAGACCAGAGAATGCTCAGCAAAAGGGAAAAGTGACTGCATACTGAACGTAACTAGACCTTTTTTTGTAGCAGTGCTCCAAGGACATCAACTGGCTAATGATTTTTTGAGAACATTATTAATTTATTAAATGTGCTGATCAGTCTGGGTATTCAGGAACTCGAGAAATGAAATATCCCCGCTCTAATGGTTTTGCTAATTAACAGCAATGAGCAACAGGCTGGAAGTCTTGTGTTTATTAAATGAATGTACCAAACTTATGATATATCCACCATAAAAAAATAATAATATAAATTTGTAATGTACTCTATTCATGCCAGTATAATACTTTAAATGTGTTTTATAGTTTTATACAACATCTCATGCTGAATTCTGGGAAAACATTCACAGAGCAGTGAACATATACTGTATTGAACTTGTTATTGTATGGCTATAGCAATATTACTGTAACAATAGGTAAAAATAAATTAAACAGTATCCTCAGCTTTACCTTAAAATAAAGTGAACCAGGGTAAATACAACAAGTTGAATGCATTAAAAGATAATGTTTTTAAATGTTGATTCAATTTTCTTGCATAAAAAATAACATGTTCGGGGATCCTTTTGTGGTACGTTGCCCTGAGGCAACAGTGTGCAATAGTGGAAAAAAATGAAAATGTTATTTAAAAATCTAAATATTTGGAACGAAACTGAGTAGCTAGTAGTAATTTGTTGATGTTAAAATGCTAAAAACACACAAAAAAAAACAGATTAATTCTATTTTCATGTTATTTTCAAAGAACCCTTCTTACTATTATGCAACATCATGAAGTAAGATTTTGATTTTCTGCACACCTAACAATCACTGAAAATGAAATTAACAGTTAAAACAATGCCAAAACACAAAAATCAAGTAAAGTTCACTTACACAGAAAAAATGGCTGCATAGCTTACAGTCCACTTGCTAAAGGTTATGTTCATTCCATTTTTGCACAATGTTGCTTGTAGGCAACATTCATGTTTGAGAAATTTTCAAGGTGGTTTCAAGATGTTATGTTTCATTTAAGGAAATAAGAAATAATTAATATTATATTGAATTTAAATACTATAACAAATGAAAATTATATTCCCTTATTTATATTATATTCCCTTATAATTATATTATAATTATATAAACTGTCTAGAGCAGAACGTGTTCTGTCCACAAGCTGCATCATGGGAAAAAGAGGTTTTAAATCGCTCACCAGAGGACAGTTTGACAAAGCACAAGCTTTTTACTGGTTCATTCAAACTATTCGGTTTACCATTAACCCTTTCATTGTCATTAAATATGTATGATGTCATTTAAAGTGAGGAGAATGGGTTTGTTAACCTGAGGCAACATTGCACAATAGAGCATTAACCAGCCATAAAGCAAGGCTGCCAACCCTCATGAATAGGCTATTCTTACCCATTTTCACCGTGTAGGTGTTAGCTTTGAAATCTGTGCCTGTTAAGGGCTACCAGATAGGAAATCTGACAGTGCTGCACCAGGACTGGCTACACCGCTGGTTACCGATAACTATTATTCTGTCACTTAGTATAACAGAATATTATTGTATGATCAAAAATGATTTTTATATATATTATATTTTCCTTAAATTAGGTTTTATTTAAAATAAACACTTTTAAAGTTGATGTGATTTGAACATGGTAATGCTCTGATGCTGATACAACTTTTTTAGTAATATTTGAATTAGATTTTTAGTGGCTAGAAAATGAAACATGGCTACATTCCTAAAAAACAAACAGAAATGACTCTGATGAAATGACTGAAAGAATGAATTAAAACTTTGCAAATTGTAGTTTGTTAGTGATTCCTGTAGAAAATACTCAAACCTGTGAGTAATATTAGAAGCTTGTTAGCCTGTTAGCTTTTGAAAGAATAGCTGTTTTTCACTTTAAAAGTATTTAATTTGCAATTTAATGTCACATGTAAAATATGTAATATTCTGTGTAAAAGAAAAAAAGGACAGTTTTGCACTGTATTTAAATGTCATTACTGTAAACAAACATTACAGTATGAGTACTGTGAATGTTAATTAGAGTACCTGTCAACTCTGCTGCCAGTAAGTTACTGTAAATTTACAGTCATTTTTTACAGTGCATCTTGATGTTGTAATCGCAATTGAAGCATCCTCCAGTAACAAAGCTGAAGAAGACCTATAAGCCAATCCAAGCACACCATACTTTGTTTCGCGAGCCACCAAAGCCAAGGATGTCGGAAGGATTTGAAAAAACTTGAAAAAGCCACAGTAATGAGGCCGAAACAATGAGGTTGGACTCAGATCAGAGTCTTAGGGAGTAACAAGGTACTAGACTGTGACTGCATCTCAAATGGCTCCCTTTGACGTACAGGACACTATTTGGGGGCAGAAGCCATTGTTTTATGACTTATGTAGTGTGTTATATAGGGAGGAACTGGACAATGTAAAAATGAAAAAAGGACCCTCAGATTCAAGTTCCCTTTTCCTATCTTGTCATTTGCTCAAAACTGCCAGTTTGTAACAGCCTTTCTTTCACTATGAATATCCCGCTATTCCTTTAGAACCTCCCTACATCCGTCATAACTCACTTTCAGGGCCGATATGGGTTTTTTTATGAGTCTCATTTGTTCAACCACAGTCCATTAAATACACACTCCTAAGGTTTTATAACCTCATTTCAGTTCTGAGCTACGGATAGCTGTAACGGTAGAGGGAATTCATGGGAGAGCGTCATGCGTCAGAAAAAGGGAGCTATGCCCACAATGGGGAAAAACAAACACAGGGTCCTGTAGACCCACAGTCAAAATTTTCTTGTGATTCACACATACTGTATATAGGCAAATACATATGGACGCCTGGCCATCACATATGAGCTTGTTGGACATCCTCTTCCAAAAACATGGGCATTAATATGGAGTTGCCCCCAATTTGGGGCTATAACAGCCTCCTTTCAGTCAAAAAAGCAAGGCCTGGCTCACATTTGACATTCCAGTTTATCCTAAAGGTGTTTAGTGGGGTTGAGATCAGGTCTCACAGTTCTTCCAAACCAAACTCGGAAAACCACGTTTTTATGGACCTCACAGGAGCACAGTCATAATGGAAAAGAAAAGGTCTTCCCCAGATTGCTGGCATATAATTGTCTAAAATGTTTGTATTCTTTAGCATTAACATTACCCTTCACTGGAACTAAGAGGCCCAAACCTTGAAAAAATGCTCCTCCTCCACCAACCTTTACTGTTGGCACTGTGCTTTTCCCATTTCTGTGCATAAAGGCCAAGGCCAAAAACCATAACTGAATGTCTGTGACCTTCGAGCCCTCAGATGGTACTACATTAACAACCGGCATGTGATGAAAATCACTACATGGGCTCGGGAATACTTTGTCAAACCACTGTCACAAACAATGTTTTTTGCTATAAAGACAATTGCAAGTTAAGACTGTACTATGCACAGTGGAAGTCGTATGTCGACAACATACAGAAACACCACTGACTTCTCTGGGCTTAGGCTCATCTGACATGGACTGATGCACAGTGGACACAACTGACCCACACCTAGTGGCTCCAAACCTGCCTCCCATTGATAATGTGTGCCGCATTATGAAGTGCAAAATATGACAATGAAGGTCCCATACAGATTTGCAGCTGAAGACTTGTATGATAGAAGAATACCAAAAATTCCTCTTTCAAAACTGGATAAATTGGTGCCTTCAGCCTTCAAAGGACTGTTAAGTGCTCTTAAAAGGAAAGGTGGTGTAAGCTGTGGTAAACATGCTCCTGTCCCAATTTTTTCATTAAAGTAAAACATCAAACATGGTGTTTTTGTACTGTTTGTAATTTATTGGCATTTGACATTCAGACTAATTCAATATCTGCTCAAGATTCAGTGAATCTCCAGGATCACCATGATACCAATTTTTTGCTTAAAAGACAACCTGCATAGAAATGAGTATAACTAAATGGGCGCCGTAATTCAAATGCTAGCGCAAGCTGTTGTCCTGACATAGAACCTGCCGTTTTGCATTTGACAGGCAATCCCTATTAAAGTCACACAAAAGGCACCAAAGCTACCAGAGCAGAGGGTTAATAACAGTGTAATGAAGTGTATGGAAGTGAGTATTCAATGTAATGTTTTTTGCTACTTGATAATATAGCTCATTTTTTATGAGTCAGTTGCTAACAGTAATGCGGGCCTTCGGTTCTGCAGAGCATGTTCCAGTCATTAGGAGAATGATAGAGTTAATGAGGGATACAGAGAGAGAGAGATAGAGAGAGAGAGAGTGACAGGGAGAGGAGGAGAGAGAGAGAAGAGAAAGCGAGCGAGCAAATTGCTCTTCAGATGCGCGGTATGAATTATGCAGGAGCCACGCTGCTCCTCAGGATGATGCCTGCGGCGCTCCGATGGAAAGGCTCTGCAGAATTCCAAACTTCTGTGAGGGATTTAGGAGCAGGACACAGGAAAAGGAAAGAGGCAGAGCACTTAATCGCGCTCAGAGACCGTATCCCCTGCCTGCGGATCAATAGCGGACATTGGGGGAACAGTTGTGGGCACTGATGCGGTGCACAGTGTCCACTGGGGCATGGTGGCTGCCCAATGTATTGCTCAGTCTCATTTAAAGAGGCTGTTCTGCAAATAAACAAAAGCACACAATTCCCCCTTATTTCAACTATAGTCAATCAGTCAAGACATGCTTGGTGTCAGACATTTGCTTGTTTAGTTTTGCACTGAACCTATGATGTTAATGTAGCAAATAATGGAAGCTTATAGCTGACTAATTAGCATTGTGCAAACTGTGTAGAGGTGTTAAGCAATCCCAAACAGACTTTTATATGTGACTTCAATAATGAGTCCTTTTATCAGTGAGTGCATTTACATGCACTCAGTAATCCGAATTGGATTTCTGCATCTGATTATTCAAATGGTCATGTAAACAACATATTCCGATTTCTAAGATTGGAGTAAGATCTAGAAATCTAATTAAGAAATCTAATGTAGACATATTTACATGCACTTAATAATCTGATAACTGCAGAAGATCAGCTGTTTTTCAAACATGCTCAGACTGTGAAATACGAAAGAAATCAGAGTAAGAGTTTACATGCGCTGAGAAATCTGATTACTGAGCTAAAATCCAGCTCTCTTTATCTGAATTTTTGATCGGATTTCTAGGCCTTACTCCAATCTCAGAACATGCTGGTCACATGACTTTTTGAATAATCACATAACTGCAGAAATCCTGCAGAAAGCTCAGTAATCAAATTTCTCAGTGCATGTAAACTCTTACTTTCATTTCTTTCTGATTTCTCAGTCTGCGCATGTGCGAAAAACAACGGTACCAGAAATAAGCAACGAGCATTGCCCCGAATTGGCAGCTGTCAGTTCATATTTTCATTAAAAGTGGCGCAAAGTAAAAAAAAAAAAAAGCCACAGCATGAAGTTTGAGTTTATGTCATGTCTTCAGTTATTGGATTATTACATGCATGTAAAAGCACTCATAGAAAAACCTTCAGTCTGTCTCAGTCACTACATAATATTTCAATTAGTTGAATAATCAAACAATACTTGCTAGATTAATTGATTTATAGAAGTAATTGTTCGTTATTGCCAAGATAGATTCCTTTTAAGTGATCAAAGAACACACTAGGCTTACATTTTTCTTTCCTTGTGTCTTACAAAAGTGCTACGCAGCTGTCTCAGTCACTATGTGTTCAAATTGGTCGATTAATCGAACAATTATAGCCAGATTAATTGACTATAGCAGTAATGGTTAGTTCTTGTCAAGACAAATTCCTTTTAAATAATCTCTTACCTCATCGTTAAAGAACACTGCAGGCCTATATTTTTCTCTCCTTGTGTCTTAGATAAGTAGTACACAGCTGTCTCAGTCACTATGTGTTCAAATTGGTCGATTAATTAATTAATTGACTATAGCAGTAATTGTTAGATTTGCCAAGACAAATTTCTTTTAAGTGATCTTTTACATTATCAAAGAACACACTAGGCTTGCATTTTCCTCTGTGTCTTAGATAAGTGCTGCACAGCTGTTTGTCACTACATGTTTAAATGAGTCGATTAATCAAAAATAGTTGCCAAATTAATTGACTATATCAGTAACTGTTCATTTTTGCCAAGACTAATTCCTTTTTTATTCAAAGAACACAGTAGGCCTACACTTTGCTTTCCTTGTGTCTTAGATAAGTGCTACACAACTATCTCAGTCACTACACATTACCATTAGTTAATTAATCGAATAGTAGTTGCCAGATCAATTGACAATACCAGTAATTGTTAGTTCTTGTCAAGACAAATTTCTTTTAAGTGATCTCTCACAAAATCAAAGAACACATTAGGCTTACATTTTTCTTTCCTTGTGTCTTACATAAGTGCTACACAGCTGTCTCAGTCACTATGTGTTCAAATTATTCGATTAATCGAACAATAGTAGCCAGATTAATTGACTATAGCAGTAACTGTTAGTTCTTGCTGGGATAAATTTATTTTAAATGATCTCTTACCTCATCATCAAAGAACACAGTGAGCCTACACTTTTCTTTCCTTGTGTCTTAGATAAGAGCTACACAGCTGTCTCAGTCACTTCACGTTGCCATTAGTTGATTAATCGAATAATAGTTGCCAGATTTAATTTAATATAGCAGTAATTGTTCGTTTTTGCACAGACAAATTTCTTTAAGGGATCTCTTACATCATTAAAGATAACAGCAGGCCTACATTTTTCTCTCCTTTTGTCTTAGATAGGTGCTACGCAGCTGTCTCAGTCACTATGTTACAATTAGTTGATTCATTGAACAGTAGTTGCCAGATTAATTGACCATAGAAGTAATTGCTGTTGTTTGCCAAGAGAAATTCCTTTTGAAGAACAGAGCACTCCTACACTTTTCTTTCCTTCGGTCTTAAATAAGTGCTGCACAATGCCCCAATCACTGCAGAACAATTACATTAGTCAGTTATTCGGACAATAGCCACCAGATTAATCGATTGGTTTGTAATACTGTAGGGCAGAGATGGGGGCTCAAGTCAGTGACTCGGACTTGAGTTGCATATCATTTTCCTGCAGCCTTGGTGCCTTGGCTGACTGACTAAATCTTCAGTACAGGGAAAATTGTACACATCAGATTTTTCTCTGAAATCTTATCTATTCCTTTAAGTGCATGTTCATGTTAAATGTATCTTGCACAAGTCACTTTGGCTCACAGACTGCTGAGGAGAGTGATTTCAGACCCCCTGCAGATGGTGCTGATAGAAGCAAAGAGATGAAAGGGTGGAGATGGGGTGGGGGTGGGATGCAGCATTAACCTTCATCAAAACTCACCAGTGTTACATTAACACATACTGCTTGAGAAAGTGTAACCACAGAGTGGACACTGGAGACCAGTTCAGAACCAGTGTAGCATTATGATACAGACACCTTTGCCCACGGGTGTCATGTAAAGCACTGTTCTCTGTTGCAGGCATACTTATAGTCATGTAAAAGCTCTCAGGGGTGTTGTTGATGTCGTGTTTGGTAGAAGAGCCATATGGAACACACAGGGCATTAATGTAGCTCTGTCCTTGGTGTGCTGAGAAGACACAGGGTGACTAAACATGTGAGGTAAAGCCTTTTAAGCTATGCATTATTGCTGTATTAGGTACCATTATGTATATGTTTCAATCCCAAGATCACATACACTGTCACACATTACCTTTCAGTAAAGCTGTCAAGATAGCCAGGTCAATGTCCTGGTGTCCCTCTGAACCCATTCGGAACACCGTGATCTAGAAAAGACAGACAGAGAGAGAGTTGAGAGAGAATGAAGGAGTAATATGGCTTATAATAGGGCAGTAATAAGGCTTATAATCAGTAAACATTATAAATCTACATTATTTGCACTGTTTATTATTAAATTTAATACTCATTGTTATCATTTTATCTCTGTTCTGCTCCATTTAATTTATTTACTGGTTAATGTGCCGAGGTTAAAGTTAGCTACTGTGAAATAACAATGCAACAAATAAAATAATAAGAGTTGCGCAACAATTAATCGTCAAAATCGACAACATTAGTCAACACTGAAGTCAATTAATGTCCATATCATACATATCATTACAACAGATTGCAATACACTATAAGAAATGCAGGGGGCAATAAGGCTTCCATTATGTTGATGCACCATGAAAAAAAGTTTTTTCACAGAGATAGAAAACTGAATGATGATAGTGTTGTGAAACAGTTAGAGGAAGCAGCAGAAGGAATACTGGTTTGATGACTCGATTAATCGCATAATAGTTGCAACACTAAACAATTGTAGAAATAAATTTCCATTTGTGTGGAAAGTGATCTCTTACTCACATCATAGTCTAAAAACACAGTAGGCCTACACTTCTCTCCTTGTGTCTTAAACAAGTGCTGCACAACTGTCTTAGTTACTACTTAACTATCTGATGACAGTCGATTAATCGAAGATTAGTTGCTACATTAATTTAATGTGAAGGTCATTTATGAATTACTACCAAGGCAAATTGCTTTAAAGTGATCTCTCACATCATCATTAAAGACGTCAGTAAGCCCACATTTTCTTCACATCCTGAACGAGATCTACACAACATTTCAATCACTACAAAATAATTTAATTAGCCGATTAATCGAACAGAAGTCACTAGATTTATTATAGAAATAACCAGTAGTTACTTCTTAGATAAGTTCTTTGTAAATAATCTCTTCTCATCATAAACAGCTCTGTAGGCCTACACTTTTCTTTTACTGCATTCTAAACAAGTGCTGATGTCCTAATCACTAAACAATGAAACGATTAGTTGATTAATTGAAAAATGGTCACTGATTAATCAATTAATTATTCAATTATGGAGTGAATTATTAGCTATCGCAAAAACTAATTAATCACAGAACACACTACACTTCTACTTGCTCTTTTCTTGCATCTTAAGTAAGTGCATCCCAACAACTACTTGATGATAATGGTTGATTAATCGGAAACTTGTTAGATTAATCAATTCTAGATATAAATCATTAGTAACTGCCAAGACAAATTCCTCACAAATGATCTCCTACTCATCAATGTAGACCATAGGCCCACACTTTTGTTTAAACAAGTGCAACAAGACCACTACATAAAGATCTGATTAGTTGATTAATCAAATAATCACTAGATTAATTGATGATGCAAATCAATTTTATAGACTGCACAGACAAATCCATTGTTCATTTGCTCACATCATTATCAAAGCAGACCACAGGACCACATTTTTTTTTAAACAAGTGCATCAAGACCACTACATAATGATCTGATTAGTCAATTAAGCAAATAATTGCTAAATTAATCGATTATAGAAATTTACTTTTATTGACTGCCCAGACAAATCCATTGTTCATTTGCTCACATCATCATCAAAGAAGACAGTAGGTCTACACTTTTTTTTTTTTGTGTCTCAAACAAGAACTACACAACCGTCCCAATCACTGCTACACCACAACAGGGGGGGAATGGAAGCCAGCACTGTCAGTTTGCAGCACGTGCCGAGAGCAAAGTGGCGTAATGCATGCGCTTGTTGCTGAGTGATGGCGGGGGGCTTGTGTCGCAGAGCTGCACATGGACACGTGCAACAAGGGCACCTTGCAGTGCGCCCAGCGTGTGCTCCGAATTCCAGAACACTCGCAATGCATTAGAGCGGCGGCCATAAATCTAACGCCATTTACAGGATTAGTCCAGGATGCGTTCACCAAGACCCCTCACATCTCAAAGCCCAGCCAGAGCTAATGAGGTGATCCGTGGAAGCCCGATTGGCCACAGGGCAGTGATGACCGGCCGGCCAGCCGCTCACAGCATTTTCATCCTCTAAACGGACCATGAAATGAAGGCATATTGAAGAGCTGCATGGATGTTTGGGAGGAGTGAAATGAGAAAAATGAGTGTGTGCATGTTATGCGTGTATGTGTGTGAGAAGAAAGGAAAGAGAGATAGACGGATAGAGAGATAGCCCTGTCACTGTATGGGTGAAAGCATAGAATAAATAGACTGCGATTATATCAACTCTTTCTAAAGAGAGAGTAATTACTCGTGTGACCATTATTGAAGACCCTCTATGTGTGGAGGTGACCCGTTGGTGTGTTTGTGTGTGTTTGTTTTCATACATTGTTAGACTTTTGTAGGAAAACCCAGAGCTTTCCTAGATTATTTTCAAAATTCTGCATTATTAAATTGTTATTCAGAATGTCATTCAGAGTGTTTTGATGTGAAGTGCTCCATTCTAGACAAACTTACTGAGTCAAAATAGTTTATTTGGTGGTGATAGAAACCAGACGTCTGAAAAATTTAATGCCTCTACACACTATACCATGAAAGTTAGTACATAAAACAATTGCAATCCATATCTTGATGCCTGAAACAAATTATTACAAATTAATTAAACCTTATGTTTAATTGAAAATACTACAAAGACAATATATCATATATCATAAAATAACATAAGTTGAAACTGAGAAATTTTATTATTTTTTGAAAAATATATGTGTATTTTGAATTTGATGTCAACAACATGTTTCAAACAAGTTGAGACAGGGGAACAAAAGACCAGTAAAGTTATGTAATTCTAAAAAAAAATATGATGGTTAATTAGCATATGACAGTAACATGACAGGGTATTAAAAGAGCATCTCAGAGAGGCTGAGTCTTTCAGAAGTAAAGATGGGGAGGGGTTCACCACTGGGTGATAGACTGCACGAGCAAACAACTCAAGAATAACGGCTCTTAATGTAACATAGCAAAGAACTTGGGGATCATCTACAGTACATAATATCATTAAAAGATTCAGAGAATCTCTGTATGCAAGGGACAAAGCCGAAAACCAATATTGGCTGACCATGATCTTCGGGCCGTCAGGCAGCATTGCATTAGAAACAGACACGATTCTGTAGTGGAAATCACTGCATGGGCTCAGAAGCACTTCTTAAACCACTGTCTGTGAACACAGTTTGTCGCTGCATCCACAAATGCAAGTTAAAACTCTATCATGAAAAGAAGAAACCATACATAAACAGGATCCAGAAACACCGCCACCTTCTCTGGGCCTGAGCTCATTTAAGATGGACTGAGGTGAAGTGGAAAAGTGTCCTGTGGTCTAATGAATCAAATTTTGAATTTCTTTTTGGAAATCATGCACACTGTATCTTCGGGTTAATGACCATATGGTTTGTTATCAGCGCACAGTTCAAAAGCACAGCATCCGTGATGGTATAGGAGTGCATTAGTGCACATGACATGGGTGACTTGCACATCTGTGAAGGCGCCATTAATGCTGAATGATATATACAGGTTTTAGAGGCATCATTGACCACAAGGGGGCAGCTGAAATTTTTACCGCTTACCCTTTGTAAACTGGGTTAAAAGAATATTGGGGAGCTAATACATGCTGCCATCCAGATGACGTCTTTTTCAGTGAAGGCCTTGGTTTTTTCAGCAAGACAATGGCAGACCACATTCTGCACATATTACAGCAGCATGGCTCCATAGTAAAAAGAGTCCAGTTGCTAAACTGGCCTCCCTGCAGTCCAGACCTGCCACCCACTGAAAATATTTGGTGCATTATGGAATAAAAAATACAACAAAGAAGACCCTGAACTGCTGAGCAGCTGAAATTCTATATCAAGCAAGAATGGGAGAACATTTCACTTTCAAAAATTCAGCAGTGTCTCCTCAGTCCCCAAACGCTTACAGAGTGTTAAAAGAAGAGGTGATGGAGCACAGGGGTAAACCTGCCCCCATCCCAACTATTTGGGAACATGTTGCTGGCAACAAATTCAAAATGGGCATATATTTTTCAAAAACAATAAAATTTCTCAGTTTAAACATTTGATATGTTGTATTTGTAATTTTCAAAAAATATTTGTAAAATATTTGATAAACATATTTGTATTTTCAATTAAATATAAGGTTTACATGATTTGCACATCATTGCATTCTATGTTTTTCAGTATTGACTGACTTTTTTTTAGCTCTTTTTGAGCATATCCAACTCCAAGTCCTGGCATTGTATAAAAACAAATCTGTGCATGTGTGTCCCGAGAGTGCTGGCCTTTTCAAACTTATCTCTCTAAGGCTAGGCCCTTGCAGCCCACTCAAAGTTATAATTACATTTGTGCATGGGTGTGCGCTTGTGAGCATGTAGGATCCACTAGTCATTAGCCCTTCGCCTCTCTAAGCTTTCCCTCACCATTAATGTCACATTAACTGACTTTTGGCTCCATAAATACTCAACGTGCCTCCCCTAATCGGAGGGAAATTAACATCGCCGCCTTGCTAATCTCGGTAGGGGGAGCAGCCACAGACACAGATATAGGAACGTCTCTCCTGGATTCAAATAAGTGCTGACCTGCGGGACGCGGTTGAATTAATGAAACCGCAGTGCATTTGAACAGATAACAATAACAGCACCGTTCCGACTCATGTTGGACCTCTCCGAGGGCATCATTTATTACAGACGAGCTACGGCTCAGCCTTGTTTGTGAGCGCAGGTCATGTCTTTGGTGGTGATAAAGCGGTTTGTATGCCAGTGGATAACAGTACCCTTGTGGTCAATGATGCCTCTAAAACCAGTATATATATCGTTCAACATTAACAATGCCTTCATAGATGTGCAAGTCACCCATGCCATGTGCACTGATGCCCCCCCATACCATCACGGATGCTGGCTTTTGCTTTTGAACTGTGCACTGATAACAAACCATATGGTCATTAGCCCAGTGGACACAGTGTCCAAAT